CAGGAAGATTGTGCAGACAGACTCCAAGCAGAGGCATAACGCCGTTGCTCAGATGATTCTTTGGAGCTTGTGCCACAAAGACCATCTTCCTGTGACAAAGAACTGATGGGATCACAAGCCGGAAAAAGTTACAGAGAATGAACACGCCAAACTCCTCTGGGACTTCCGGATTCAGACAGACAAGAGTTTTGAAGCACAACACTCCTGACCTCACAATTGTGTTGAAAAACAAAGTATGGATTGTTGAGGTCGCAGTCCTAGGTGACAGCAGGATTGCAGAGAAACAACTGGAAAAGCTGACACAATACAAGGATTTAAAGATCAAACTGCAAAGACGCTGGTACAAGCCAGTCAAAGCGGTCTCAGTGGTGATTGGCACACTGAGTGCAGTGACTAAAGACCTTGGCCTGCACTTAAACACAATCAGCACTGATAAAGTCACCACCTGTCAGCTGCAAAAGGCCACCCTACTGGGATCTGCACGCATTATTAGCCAATACATCACACAGTCCTAGGCATTTGGTTCTGGAGAACAAGCCCTATGAGGAGCGGCTTAAAGAGCTGGGCATGTTTAGCCTGAAGAAGAGAAGCCTGAGAGGAAATATGATAGCCATGGATAAATATGTGAGAGGAAGCCACAGGGAGGAGGAGGGAGCAAGCTTGTTTTCTGCTTCCCTGGAGACTGGGACGCAATGGAACAATGGCTTCAAACTACAAGAAAGGAGATTCCATCTGAACATGAGGAAGAATCTCCTGACCGTGAGAGCCGTTCAGCAGTGGAACTCTCTGCCCCGGAGTGTGGTGGAGGCTCCTTCTTTGGAGGCTTTGAAGCAGAGGCTGGATGGCCATCTGTTGGGGGTGCTTTGAATGCGATTTTCGTGCTTCATGGCAGAATGAAGTTGGATTGGGTGGCCCACCAGGTCTCTTCCAACTCTAGGATTCTAGGATTCTATGTTGCAGCAGCTCCACTGGTTTCCGGGCTCCATCCGAGCTAAATACAAACTGCTGGTCATTACCTATAAATCCCTAAATGATTTGGGTCCTGGCTAGTTGTCCAATCGTACCTCCCTATATAGACCATCTTGTGCACTGCAGTCAATTGAGGAGGCCTTCCTCTCAGTCCCACCTCTGTCACAAGCTCAGTTGGTGGGAACGAGGGAGGAGGCCTTCTCCGTGATCGCTCCTTGACTCTGGAACTCCCCACAGAAATAAAAACGCCCCCCACCCTCCTGTTGGCTGACCTACTTGTACCTCATGGCCAGTTGGAATATTGTGTCCAATTCTGGGCACCACAATTGAAGGGAGATATTGATAAGCTGGAATGTGTCCAGAGGAGGGCGACTCAAATGATCAAGGGTCTGGAGAACAAGCCCTATGAGGAGCGGCTTAAAGAGCTGGGCCTGAAGAAGAGAAGGCTGAGAGGAGACATGATAGCCATGTATCAAGATGTGAGGGGAAGTCATAGGGAGGAGGGATTGGTGCCCTGGAGACTAGGATGCAATGGAGCCATGGCTTCAAACTACAAGAAAGGAGATTCCACCTGAACATGAGGAAGAACTTCCTGACTGTGAGAGCCGTTCAGCAGTGGAACTCTCTGCCCCGGAGTGTGGTGGAGGCTCCTTCTTTGGAGGCTTTGAAGCAGAGGCTGGATGGCTATCTGTCAGGGGTGCTTTGGACGCAATATTCCTGCTTCTTGGCAGAATGGGGCTGGACTGGATGATGGCCCAGGAGGTCTCTTCCAACTCTTGGATTCTAGGATTCTATGATCTCTCATTTGGATAATGATGAAAAAGCCTTATTGTGTATTGCTTACAAGGACTATGTAAATTTGTTGCACTGATTGTTTTTGTTTGCAGCATTGCAAGTTTATGTTTGAACTCTGCTGATAAGAGTAACGTTTTTTCTGCTCTTTTTCCTCTTGCCTGGGTGAAATGTTATTGTGTCTTCAGCATTGGACCTGACTGAAGCACACTATGCGCAAAACAGGGCAGCAGAAAACAAGCCTGCTCCCTCCTCCCTGTGACTTCCTCTCACATATGTATACATGGCCCTCATCATGTCTCCTCTGAGCCTTCTCTTCTTCAGGCTAAACATGCCCAGCTCCTTAAGCCACTCCTCACAGGGCTTGTTCTCCAGACCCTTGATCATTGTAGTTGCCCTCCTCTGGACACATTCCAGCTTGTTGACATCTCCCAATTGATGTTTTAATGCTAGCTGCTGCTCTGCTAAGGAGAGAAGAGAGAGCCCCCTCCCCATTGCCACACATACTGACTCCTAGACCCCTACTCCCCACCTTCCCCCCAAATTTCGGCCTTCAGGTTGAGTCAGAATTCTCCCCAACTGCTTTCTCTCCCCACTTCCCACCTGACTCAGCAGGAGAACCCCAAAAGGAGGCATGGAGGGGAAGGACCCCCCCCCCCCATACACACACACACAAGGAGGGAAGCCTTGCATTCAGGGGAAGGGTGGGGTGCCCCCACTTCCTCCTCCAACCCCTTCCTTCCCTTCTCCGCTGTGCTTTCCACAAGATGACTGGCTGGGCTTCCTAAGTAAGCGTCAGCCTCGGTGGATGATGTGCATTGACTCAGGGGGGCTGGCACGGAGGGAGGGAGGGGAACGGGCACCCTCCGTGGCACCACACAGATGCTGTGCAAATACAGGCCCGTGGCACTTCTCAGAGTGGAGTGGAAGATCCTCCCTTGACAACTTCTAAACAGAGACTGGATGGCTATCTGTCAGGGAGGCTTTGAGTGTGCTTTTCCTTCATGCCAAGGGGTTGGGTTAGATGGCCCATGGGGTCTCTTCCAACTCTACTATTCTACAATTCTACTGTCACTAATTCTTCCCTGCTTGACCTCAGTGGGAAGGGGTGGCCAGGACAGTTCTGAGGAGGCCACCAATTGGACCTCCATTGGTTGGTCAGATCATAGAATCAAAGAGTTGGAAGAGACCTCCTGGGCCATCCAGTCCAACCCCATTCTGCCAAGAAGCAGGAAAATTGTATTCAAAGCACCCCTGACAGATGGCCATCCAGCCTCTGTTTAAAAACTTCCAAAGAAGGAGCCTCCACCACACTCCAGGGCAGAGAGTTCCACTGCTGAACGGCTCTCACAGTCAGAAAGTTCTTCCTCATGTTCAGATGGATCTCCTCTCTTGTAGTTTGAAGCCATTGTTCCATTGTGTCCTGGTCTCCATCAGAAAACATTTATAATATTACATTGTGATGAAATATAATACTACTAATAATAACATATTATATTATTATACAACACCGCCTGAGCTCTGCAAGTGCAGCATTTTTCCGAATGAAGCAGAGTGTTTGAGGACCAGGACATCTGTATTTATTATTTTATTTATTTACTTCACTCTTCTCAGCCCTCAGGCGACTCAGACTCTGTAGGGAGCCCAAGGGGCTTGTTTATAAAGCTATTGTCCTCCCAACCCTGCTATACACCTGCGAGATGTGGACTGTCTACAGACATCCACATTAAGACTGGAATACAACACCGCCTGAGCTCTGCGAGTGCAGCATTTTTCTGAATGAAGCAGAGAGTGTTTGAGGATCGGGACATCCATAGGGAGACCAAGGTGCTTGTTGATAAAGCTATTGTCCTCCAAACTCTGCTATATGCCTGCGAAACATGGACTGTCTACAGACATCAACATTATGACTGAAATACAACACCGCCTGAGCTCTGCAAGTGCAGCATTCTTCCGAATGAAGCACAGAGTGTTTGAGGACCGGGACATCCGTAGGGAGACCAAGGTGCTTGTTTATAAAGCTACTGTCCTCCTAACTCTTCTATATGCCTACGAAACGTGGACTGTCTACAGACATCAACATTAAGACTGAAATACAACACTGCCTGAGCTCTGCAAGTCCAGCATTCTTCCGAATGAAGCACAGAGTGTTTGAGGACCGGGACATCCTTAGGAAGACCAAGGTGCTTGTTTATAAAGCTACTGTCCTCCTAACTCTTCTATATGCCTACGAAACGTGGACTGTCTACAGACATCAACATTAAGACTGAAATACAACACCGCCTGAGCTCTGCAAGTCCAGCATTCTTCCGAATGAAGCACAGAGTGTTTGAGGACCGGGACATCCGTAGGGAGACCAAGGGGCTTGTTTATAAAGCTATTGTCCTCCCAACCCTGCTATATGCCTGCGAGACGTGGACAGTCTACAGACGTCATATGCAACTTCTGGAACGATTCCATCAGCATTGTCTCCAAAAAATCCTGTAAATCTCTTGGGAAGACAAGCAGACAAATGCCAGCATGCTCGAAGAAGAAGCAAAGACCACCAGCATTGAAGCGATGATCCTCCACCAACTCTGCTGGACCGGCCACGTTGTCCGTATGCCCGACGACTCAAAAACAGAAAATACACAATAAACAATAACAATATCAATAAGAATCATAGAATCAAAGAGTTGGAAGAGACCTCCTGGGCCATCCAGTCCAACCCCATGCTGCCAAGAAGCAGGAATATTGCATTCAAATCACCCCTGACAGATGGCCATCCAGCCTCTCTTTAAAAGCTTCCAAAGAAGGAGCCTCCACCACACTCCAGGGCAGAGAGTTCCACTGCTGAACAGCTCTCACAGTCAGGAAGTTCTTCCTCATGTTCAGATGGAATCTCCTCTCCTGTAGTTTGAAGCCATTGTTCCGCGTCTGGGAAGAACTGGGAAGCCCAGTTGGAGGTCTGCTGTGACCAGCAGTGCTGCAGAATTTGAAGAGGCACAAATGGAGGGCGAAAGAGAGGAACGTGCCAAGAGGAAGACACGTTAAGCCAACTCCGACGGGGACTGGCTTCCACCTGGAAACTGATTCTTGACCACTACACTGGTCAAGAATAGGGCTCCACAGTCACCTATGGACCCACCGCCAGGATACCGATCTTGGAAGACAATCCTACTCAGACAACGAAGCATTGCCCCTAAGTACTAAGTAATGTATTCCTTTTGAGGACAATTAAAAATGCACCAGACACGTGACGGGAGTGTAAAAGGTTTAATGGACCTCTTGATGAAGCGGCTTCTCGGGCCGAAAGGAGTCAACGCGGAGGGCAGCCAGATTGTGCTTGTGTCCATCCCGATCAGCCCACAAAGACAAAACACTCACAATCACTGCCATGAGAATTCCACAGGCAAATCACATACACATATCCCGCGCCCACCCTCCTCCCTTGTGGGAAAATCCCCCGTCTGGGGCTTCCTGCCGCAGAGAAGGCCAAAGGGATGCAGGCCAAAACCGCTGGGAGATCAAGACCGCTGGGAAGTCAAGGGCAAGCAAGACCTCCAAAGGAAAGGGCTCCCCAGGCTGTTTCCTTTGTGAGGGGCCTTCTTCTCACCCCCGACCCATCACGAGGGGTCTCCTGCCCCAGGAAGGTCTAGCGGTGAGTCAGGTGACCGCTGACCAGCCAAGTCCCATCCAGTGGCTTTGAGGGCAGGTAGGAGCTTGGTGGTCCTCTGAGTTGAGCACTGCTATGCTCTGGGGAGGGGTTCACCGGCACTCCCAGAATCCCCTCTGGAGGTGCAGGAAGGGCGTGAGTCTATGTTGAGAGGAGCACCATCACCCCAGCTAAGACCCTCTTACCTGGCCTCCTACCTGGCCTCGTACCTGACCTCGTACCTGGCCTCCAGGTGACTGGGGGCAGGTGGGAGCTGCTCCATAAGGCGCTCATGGGATGCATGGCTTTGAGTCCCTTCCTCTTCTAGGAAAGCACCCAGATTTCCGCACACCAGGCGTCCCCGTGACCCAGAGGACCACGTCCCACCCCAGACAATGACCACGATACAGGCCTGAGGCCCTTTCTCCTTCTCCTCCTTTCCCCAGTGAGGACAGGAGAGACACTTTGGGGAGCTGGGCAGATCCAAGCTAGCCTCGCTCCGGCCTCATTGCACCACGCAGACATCTTCGCTGCCCTCAGAGGCGGTGGCAGCCTTGGAGGTGTTGGCCCCCTCGTCTTGTGTCGGTGACAACCCCTCCTCCTCCTCCCCCTCCTCCTCCTCGCCGGAGAGCTTCTCTCGCAGCTCCAGCAGCAGATCCCGGCTCTCGCTGGGCGGGAGGTTGCTCAGGTAGTACTGGGGGGCCAGTTGGGCCAGCCTGCAGGGAGGGAAGATGAGGTCAACACCTTTCGGAAGGCTATTTACTAAGCTCAAGGCGTAAATCAAAGTGAGGCCCCCACAGGCCCAGCTATGCCCTCAAAAACATGCATGATGTCCACCACCCACCCACCCACACGTCCCAAGATGATGCTCACATCTCTGGCTGGATTTCGGAGACGACGCTGAGGCAATTGTCCTGGGAGATGGTGAACTCATGGTAGAGCAGCCAGGGGGGAGGCCGCGGGGGAGGCCGGCGCAGGCGGTAGCAGCAGCTGGGGGGCAGCTGGGCCAGGTGCTTGTGGGTCAGCAGCAGGTAGTTGCCGGAGCCATCGATGTCCCGGGCCACCTGTGGGGAAGGAGGGAGGGAGGGGGCGTTGGAATTCAACCTCACTGTTGTAGTCCAGCCTTTGATGGTGCCTGTGCCTGATCTCACTGGGGATTCTGGGCCTGCTGATGAGCAAGAGAATCAGGAGAGTTCAAGCCCTGAAAAGGAGAGCTCTCTGCCCCACATTCCAGAAAGGCAGTTCCCTAGAGATGGACAGTCAGAGGCAGAAATGAGCTCAGGGGAGGAAGAGACAACTCCAGTCGGAGGAGCTAATGAGCAACGGTTAGATCGAAGATGAATGTTTCATCAACATAGAGTATCTCATGGAGCACATCGAAGGTCAGCTCGCTTATTAACAAAAAGCCCTTATCAGTCTTTGAAGGGCAATGGAGCGGCTTTCCAGGCAAGATTCTGGAAAAGATTGTTAAGGAAGTGGTCTGCAAACACTTAGAGACAAATGCGGTCATCGCTAATAGTCAACATGGATTTATCAAAAACAAGTCATGCCAGACTCATCTGATCTCTTCTTTCGATAGAGCTACAAGCTGGGTAGATGCGGGGAATGCCGTGGATGTAGTGTAAGGTCTCCTTCGACAAGGTCCCCCATGACCTTCTGACAAGGAAACTAGTCCAATGTGGGCTAGGCAAAACTACGGTGAGGTGGATCTGGAATTGGTTAAATGGACAAACTCAGAGGGTGATTCTCCCCAAGGCTTCCTCCTCTTCATCCTGGAAAGAAGTGACGAGCGGAGAGCCATCCGCAGGGTTCGGTCCTGGGCCCGGTCCTGCTCAACATCTTTATTAATGACTTAGATGAAGGGCTAGAAGGCATGATCATCAAGTTTGCAGACGGGACCAAATTGGGAGGGAGAGCCAACACTCCAGAGGACAGGAGCAGGAGTCAAAACGATCTTGACAGATTAGAGAGATGGGCCAAAACTAACAAAATGAAGTTCAACAGTGACAAATGCAAGATACTCCACTTTGGCAGGAAAAACGAAATGCAAAGATACAAAATGGGGGACGATGATGCCTGGCTCGAGAGCAGTCCATGTGAAAAAGATCTTGGAGTCCTCGTGGACAACCAGTTAAACATGAGCCAACAATGTGATGTGGCGGGAAAAAAAGCCAACGGGATTTTGGCCTGCATCAAGAGGAGCATAGTGTCTAGATCTAGAGAAGTAATGCTACCCCTCTATTCTGCTTTGGTTAGACTACATCTGGAATATTGTGTCCAATTCTGGGCACCACAATTCAAGAGAGATATTGACTCTAAGCTGGAATGTGTCCAGAGGAGGGCAACTAAAATGATCAAGGGACTGGAGAACAAGCCCTATGAGGAGCAGCTAAAGGAGGTGGGCATGTTTAGCCTGAAGAAGAGAAGGATGAGAGGAGATATAATAGCCATGTATAAATATGTGAGAGGAAGCCACAGGGAGGAGGAGGGAGCAAGCTTCCTTTCTGCTTCCCTGGAGACTAGGATGCAATGGAGCAGTGGCTTCAAACTACAAGAGAGGAGATTCCATCTGAGCATGAGGAAGAACTTCCTGACTTTGAGAGCCATTCAGCAGTGGAACTCTCTGCCCCGGAGTGTGGTGGAGGCTCCTTCTTTGGAAGCTTTTATACAGAGGCTGGATGTCCATCTGTCAGGGGTGATTTGAATGCAATATTCCTGCTTCTTGGCAGAATGGGGTTGGACTGGATGGCCCAGAAGGTCTCTTCCAACTCTTTGATTCTAGGATTCTATGATTCTGTCTATATTAGAAAGGCAAGCAGAGTATTGTTGGAGCTCTGCCTGTGATTTTGTTTCAGGATGGATGTGGGGAGTGATGTCAATGAGTTTCAAGATGAGTTTCAAGATGGCAATGGTTCAGTCAGTGATACTGGTGCAGAGAATGACCAGGAGATCCCTGTTCAAAGTGTAGTTTCCATGAGAATGTCCCTGAGCGGTGTGGAGATGATGGTGTGCTCTCTGAATTGTTACCAGAGAGTTCCCATGATTGGGAACGTGAAATCAGCTCAGCACCTGGCCCAGCTGCAGAAATTAATGAGCAAATAGATAGACGGGAGGAGATCAGTCAAAACAGGAAAGCAGAACAGTGGCTTCGGCGTTCTGCCAGGCTCCGAGAGAAAAAGATAAGAAATTCTCAGCTAAAGCGAAACCAATTTCTGAGCGCTAGAGACATAGCTAATGAGGAGATAAAAGTCCCAAGTACAGGATATGTAGTCAGATGAAGCATCGTTTGGAATCAAGTCAAGATCTCATCCTGCTTCACTGAAGTTTCACTTGAATAGCACTGAGTTGCCATGAAACTGCCAAGTCAATCAGTACAAAGGCAGATACACACACACATACACACACGCTCCAACTGACTCGTCTCCAACAGCCACAGATGCAGGGAAAATGTCAGAAGAGAATGCTACTGGAATGTGTCCATACAGTCCAAAAACACACAGCAACCCAGTCACTATCCTTCCTCTTCCCATTGTTGGGGTTCAGCCTGAGTTTGAACTTGAACCTGACTCTCTGTTTGTTCCTCCTGATGCTAATGAAAATATATTTACTGATGCTAATGAAAATGTACCTCTTGATGCCAATGCTCCTGAAATTAGTGAGGAAGAAACTTCTGTAGGTTTGGAAAATGCCAATGTTCCTGAAATTAGTGAGGAAGGAACTTCTGTAGATTTGGAAAATGAAAGTACCAGTGTTCATGAGAATGTTTCAGAGGGAAGCCATGACCTTTCACTCCCTTCTGCACCTGGTAACTTTAATGAGAACAGAAGGGGCCAGATCTGGCAAGACAGAAGTAAATCACTCAGCTTGCGAAGGTCTTCCCGATTAAAAGAAATACAAACAAGGGCTTCAAAGCAGAGGGGCGGTTCACGGAACCAATTCTTCGGCTTTAAGTGCCTTCCGCCGGGCTGACTTTCTCAGTTCAGGCATCGTTTCAGATTGATGAAGACCTTGGCAGTTCTCCCGGTTTCCCTGGCCATGGTCTTGAAAGATTTCTAGGATATCAAGCACGGTTAGTGGATTGCTAACAGGTTCCAGTATTTACAGTGAGGCTTTTGGTTTTGCTTTGTCCATTTAAATTCATGTTTGCTGATTTTGCTGTGGCTTTTGACTTGCATTTTTCCTTTATTTTGTAACTATTTTTCTTCAATAAAAAAGGATTGTTTTTCACAGTCAAGTGTGGTGGATAGTTATCTTAGGGCCTCGTTCCCTGCTCTGGATTGCAACACCCATCCTCACTGATGACATAGAATGGAGGATAAAGCCAGCGTATTACTGGAAGACACAGTGGGAACAAGGAAGAAGCTGCCCAGATGGGACCTTCCAAGGAGGGAAGGAGGCATCCAACACCCCTTCTTTGGCTTGTGCCCCCAGCAGCCCCTCTCTGCCTGAGACCTCTTCCCCTGCCCTGCCCTGGCTTGACTGGCCCTCTCCCCACTTGCCCCGGTCTCATGGGCTCACCTTGAGGAAGAAGCCCGAGAGCAGGGCTTGCTTGAGTTGGAGGACGTTGCTGTCCGAGCCAAAGGCCGGCGGGGAGACGGGCAGTTCGATCCGCTGCATGACCTCCAGGAGCTCTGACCGCACGGCCCCCGCCAGCCGCAGCGCCCCCTCGCTCACCCCGTGCTTCCGGCACCAGCTCTCCGGGTCACTCTCTGAGGGAGGCAAAGCAGGAAGGGAGGCGGTAGGAGTGGGTAGCCTGGCCAGTGGCCCCAGCACCTTCCCACTACCCAGAGGTGTCACTCACGCTGGTGGAAAGCATTGAAGATGTTGATGAGGGTGAAGTGGTCTCCCGCCGGGTGAAGCAGGGCTCGTTGCCGGGCGGACACTGCTTCCTCCCAACGATTCTGGGGAGTCAGGAAGCAGGGCCAGGCTGCGGAGGGAGAAAGAGACAGAAGGCAAATTCAGGCAGAAGCACAGAAAGAGGATGCCCACCCCCCAAATCACAATGCTGCCCCCCCCAGCTGCTCTGGAAGCCACCAGAGGACGTTGCATGGCAGACGAGGTTTGGGGGGAGGCCTCTCTTGACTAGGTGACTAGCTGGCCCTGATTTGTTTCTTGTCTGGAATTCCCCTGTTTTCAGAGTGGTCATAAATAATAATAATAATAATAATAATAATGTATTGCTAATCAAGGTGGTCAGTTGAAAGATTCACACCTAGCCCAACTTACAAAAGCCCTTTGTCTCACACTGGTCATTCCACAGATATATAAACCCCTTTTTTCCCAGTTCTAGCAGACCTCACCTCTGAGGATGCTTGCCATAGATGCAGGCAAAACGTCAGGAGAAATGCCTCTAGAACATGGCCATATAGCCCGAAAAAACCCACAAGAACTGAATAATAATAATAATAATAATAATAATACTCCCCCAGGCAGGAATCAGCCAGGCCTTGAAGCTGCAAGGCTATTCAATACTAATCAGGGTGATTAACTGCAACACTTAATCAGCTGAAGGGGGAAAGGAAAGGGCGAGAGGCCGTTAGGAATGGTGGGAGTTGAAATCCAAAACACCTGGAGGGCCAGAGTTTTCCCATGTCAGCTCTGCCCTCAGAGAAGAGACAAAGGGGGGTGAGAGTCCAGCAGGGAGGGGGCCGGACACTGCAACACGACCTGGCTAGAGGCAGAGCGCGTACCTGTCAGCATGGCGGCCAAGGTGAGCATCTCATCCACGCAGTCAAACTCGCAGGCGGCCAGGAGGGCCTTGGCAAGCTGGGGGTCGAGGGGGAACTCGGACATGATGATGCCCACTTCAGAGAGGTTCCCGTCGTCATCTAGGGCGGCCAGGTAGTCCAGGTCTTCCAGGGCCTGCATGAGAGACTCAGGCCCTGGACAAGGAAGGGAGGGCAGGCTGGTCAGGCCCACAACCGAGACGACAACACACCGCCTTCCATCCCTTTCCCACCTCCCTTCCTTGAACCCCACACCTGGCCGGTCAAGGAAATCGCACTGCCCCATGTCAGCAATGTCCAGGCGCTTCAGGAGCAGGACCAGGCGGCTTAAGTTGGCCTCAGTGATGCCGGCCGGAGGGAAGTCTGGGAACTGCGCATAAGCGGACTCGGCATAGAGGCGCAGGCAGGACCCTGCGAGGGAGCAGAGAAGGTGTCGTGGCTGAAGTGTGGGGCAGGAGGGAAGGCTGATCGGCCCCCGCTCCCAAGACACCCCACCTGAAGGAAGGGCTCACCTGGGGGGCTCCCAGCTGCCCTCAGCCTCCTTGCCTCGGCCTGCTTCTTGCTTATGGGCCGCAGCACCTGAGACTCAGCGCGGATCTGTGGGTTGTACACCTGTGTTTCCAGGGGGAGAGGCACAGTATAAGACCGATCAGCAAATAGCCTTGTCAAAACAGACGGCTGTGCCAGGAGATTTGATTCCTTTTCTTGCACTGTTAGTTTGCATGAATCTATCCCAGCTATGCTGTTTTGCAATTGGGTAGCTTTCCCCAGGTTGCAATCATAGGGCCAACAACCTATCAATCATCATTAGAGCCTTTAGATCCGCCCCTTTCCCCAGGTTTTGGAGAGAAAGGGGGACTTTCAGTTCAGTCTCACAGTTTGGAGCCCTACAGTAGGACGTGTGGGCCTTTTCTCTACCCCACCTGTAAAAAGCTTCGCTTCTTACAGCTCGGCCGGGGTTCAAGATTTAGATTTACAGCCAGCTCTGCCGGGGTTGAAGAAATAGCTCTTACAGCTCTGCTGGGGCCAAAGAGATAGATCTACAGCCAGCTTTTGCTGGGGAAAAAGGAAAACATCTACAGCTTTGCTGGAGAGTAAAGTTACAGTTCCATAGCCTTCGTGGAGAAACTTAAAGGAAACTTAAAGCTTGGCAGATCTGCAGCAACCATTGCCTGCTAAGGGACCACTCGGGCCATCCATAACGCAGCCCGGAGCCGGGAGTTGGGGCCTCACGCCAGCAGGGTTAAGAAAGACTGCCCAAGGAGGGGTCGGAAGGTTTCCCTAAAGAAGATAGGAACAGTTTCTCAAGCAGTGGCCTGTCCCTTGTCAGTAGATCGAGAAAGCTACCAGTTTTTCAAGATTATACGGCATTTTGTTCATTTGTTCAAAGATTTAAGCCTTAATAAAGAACTTTGTTGGACTTACTTTGAGCCTCTACAGAACTTTGTTTTGGGAAACCTAAGGGACTGTAGTGAAATTGCTACTCTATGTTAAAGTTTTGGTGTATAGCTCTATGTTTACATATGGCAGATAGGGAAGAATAGGCACAGACAGGGTAGCAACAGCAGAAATAGGATTCATTTGAATATGTGAAGCCGATTGGTTATATGCAGATTAGTGTAGGCTCAGGATTTAAAAGGCTGCTAGGACAAAATGACAGTTGGGGAGAGCAGAGCTGAACATTCCAAAGGGGCGGAGCCAAGGTTCTGAAAGAGGCAGTTAGAGTGAGGGAGTTTGAAAACGATGCTTAGGAATCTGTGTGTGAAAAGAAGAGTTGGTTTTTGAGTACCTGATAGAAATAAGCAGTTATGAAGATGTGTTAAAGACTTCTGATATAGAGAAGCAGTTAGTTAAATAGAGCACAAGTTTTAAGGAACATAAAGAAGGCTAGTGTTGCCTTAGTTCAGAATACAATTCAGCCAAGAGTGTGTGAAGCAAGTAACATGTTTGTGAATTTGAAACATTGATAGTCTATTCAGAAAAGTTAGCCAAGTAAATGATACTGACTGTAAGCCTCAAGATTGCAACAAAACACAAACGTAATCACAAGTGTTGGAGCCAGAAGTTATAAATAAACTGTGTCACTTGGTTATACACAAGAGTGTTTCATTGCCTGCGATATAAAGTACAAAGGTTTAACAGCACACAGAAAGTCCCAGCCAATATAAAAGAAGAAATTGAATCAGTATAAGGCAGCAAAGAGGTTTTTTTTTTTTTAAAGAGGAAATAATCTCTCTCTCTTGCCTCAGGACCCTTTAGCTGAGGCACCCCGGCGTCCCATTGAGCATACAGAAAGCACGTCCTATAAACAGGCATTGTCACAGGCCCAGCACGCGACAGCACAAATGGAGATAAGGCACGTGGATACTGCTCCCAAAAAAGGCAATGCAAGCATTAGAAGAATTAGAGAATCTTGCTCAGTCATATGGTTGGGTACCTTCTGGCCAGAGGGGACTGGACTTTGAATCAAAAAGGACATTGTGCCATTTGTGGGGTCACCTGAGAGTCGAGCTAAAACACGATGACCCATTCCCCTAGTGACACTTCCTCTTCTCCTCCCCATAGTCTGTGGGTCACTCTGTGGGGAAGCCCAAACAAATGACCACTGGTCTTGAGCCATCCTTCCTTGTTTGGCAACACCTTGGTCCACTCCAGGATAGGAGGTGGGTGGGCTGTGAGTCTAGGATGAGCAAAATCACATGCACCGGGCATCAGCTGCATTAAGATTACTTCTGACCAAAAGGTCATGAGTTCGAAGCCAGCCCAGGTCGGAGCGAGCTTCCAACCAATTTGTGTAGCTTGCTGTCAACCTTCGCAGCCCGAAAGACAGTTGCAACTTTCAAATAGGAAATTTAGGTTGTTGTACGTTTTTTTGGACTATATGGCCATGTTCTAGAGACATTCTCTCCTGACATTTTGCCTGCATCTATGGCAAGCATCCTCAGAGGTAGTGAGGTCTGTTGGAACTAGGAAAAAGGGTTTATATATCTGTGGAATGACCAGGGTGGGACAAAGGACTCTTGTCTGCTGGAGCTAGGTGTGAATGTTTCAACTGACCACCTTGATTAGTATCTGATGGCCTGGCAGTTGTTTGGTGTGGCTTGTTGGTGCCTGGGGCACTCTTTTGTTGAGAGGTGATTAGATGTCATTGATTGTTTCCTCTCTGTTGTTTGGACGATTTCAACAGAAAGGAGGAAACCATGAAAATGAACAAAATCTGGCTATCAGTATTTAAAAAAAAACTCTAAAATTACAACAGCAAAACAACCTCTCAAAAAAAAATTGCCCCAGGCACTAACAAGCCACATGAAACAACTGCCAGGCCATCAAATGCTAATCAAGGGGGTTGGCTGAAACATTCACACCTAGCTCCAGCAGACAAGAGTTCTTTCTCCCACCCCAGTCATTCCACAGATATATAAACCCATTTTCCTAGTTCCAAAAGACCTCACTGTTGCCATAATCTGTAAGCCGCTCTGAGTTGAGAACAGCGGGGTATAAATACAGTTAATAAATAAATAATAAATAATAATAATACCTCTGAGGATGCTTGCCATAGATGCAGGCAAAACGTCAGGAGAGAATGCCTCTAGAACATGGCCATATAGCCCGAAAAAACCTACAACAACCCAATGATTCCAGCCATGAAAGCCTTCAACAATACAATTTAGGTACCGCTTATGTGGGGAGGCTAATTTACGAGGCCATAAAAATCTCCAGCAAGCATGCAAAGAATGAGGAAGTACTTCATCAGTGTCACAAATGGACAGTGAAGCAACAGCTCCCCTGGTGGCTAGAATACCCTCATGAAAAAACTGGAATGTTAAACAGCCTCTGTGTGTCTGTCGATACATGTTGTGTGTCTATGGCATAAACACACGCACACGCACACACACACACAAAACCCCAGCGAACACACTTAAATACCCAAAAGATACACCATATATACATATACACATACACTCATATACATATGCACATGCACACATTCCTACACACACGTATATATATATATGCACAAACACACACAAATATACACATATACACACATACATATACATACACACACAAATATACACATATGCAGATATATATGCACAAATACATATATATAAAATACATACATATATATATATATACATACACACATGCACACACATATACACAACATGCATGTACACATATAAAGACACAAATACACAAATATATATAAACCCACCCACCCGCACACACACATATATATACACACACGCAAACACACATATATACACAAATATACACACACACATACACACATATACACACACACAAAACACTTATACATATGCACTCATATACATATGCCCATGCACACATTCCTACACACATGTTTATATATATGCACAAACACACACAAATATACACATATACACACATACATATACATACACACACAAATATACACATATGCACATATACATGCAGAAATACACACATATATATATACACATGCACACACATATACACAACATGCATGCACACATATAAACATACAAATACACAAATATATATACACCCACATGCAAACACACATATATACACAAATATACACACACACATACATACATATACACACTCACAAAACACATATACACAGACTGGGTCACAGCAACGTGTGGCAGGGAGCGGCTAGTAATAAATGAATATTAAATACGTGTTGCCCTCCTTTGGAAGGCAAGGTGCCCACCCATGGAGGCTTGTCCAGAAGCCTGGACAACACCTTCCATGCCCTGCCACCAGCCGATCTCACTGGAGTGGTCATTCAATGCTAGCATGAGCAATAGGCCGATCAATATCTGTTCCCGATACACTTCAGGTGTCTGGGCGCTTGGATAGAGATATATGGCCTGTGCAAATACTCACGCTGCGCAGCTCGAGACCAGCGTCAATCACGTGCCTGACGCTCCCCACGGAGAACGCTGCGTCCGCCATCCAGTGGGAGACGATGATCCGGCGCATCCGGCCCCCGCCTGTTGCATCCAGGCTGGCCTCATACACCCGCTGGACCTCTCGCCCCACGGCCGGGTGGAGGGGCAGCACCAGCAGCGGGCCCAGCGCAGGGTCCAGGGTGGCAGCCTCCAGGCGGATGGCCTCACAACACGCACTGACCTCCTGCGGAAGGAAGGTCCTGGTCAGGGGCCAAAGAGCAAATGGAAGCGTAGAAGGCTAAGGACCCAAGTGGGCACTTAAGAGTCACCCTCTATAGCCAGACAGTGGAGTGGCTCAATCAGCAAGGAACATCTCACCCCAAAAACTGCGATTGCGCACAACCTGGAGGCAGCCATGTTAGAAATATTAAATATTAACTAGGTATTTTTAATTACAAAAAGGTAAGTAAAGCACTGAAAGGGTTAAATGGGTACAACGACTCAGCGAGGCTGCAGTTCAATATAAGCAGGCGTGCCTGTTGCTTAGTAACACCTCAGTCTGAGAGAGCTCTGTGTGAGAGAAGCCTCTCAGTGTGAGAGAAGCCTCTCAGTGTGAGAGATGCCTCTCAGTGTGAAAGAAGCCTCTCAGTGGGAGAGAAGCCTCTCTGTGTGAGAGAGATCGTTTCAGTGAGAGAATAAGCCTCATTGTTAGTAGGCCTCCCTGTGGAAGAAAAGGCCTGTCTGTGAGGTAAGCCTCTGTATGAGAAGGTCTCATGTATGAAGCTCCAGTGCGAAGGTTGAACTTTATTTGTGTCACGGAAACCTTGTTCTTGTAAATAGTGCAACCATATTATTTCACTACATGGATACAATATAAGCAGGAGTGCCTGTTGCTTAGTAACACCTCAGTCTGAGAGAGCTCTCAGTGTGAGAGAAGCCTCTCTGTGTGAGATCGCTTCAGTGGGAGAATAGGCTTCATTGTTAGTAGGCCTCACTGTGGGAGAAAAGGCCTGTCTGTGAGATAAGCCTCTGTATGAGAAGGCCTCATGAATGAAGCTCCAGTGTGAAGGTTGAACTTTGTCATAAAAACCTTGTTCTTGTAAATAGTGCAACCATATTTTTTCACTACATGGATACAATAAAAGCAGCCATGCCTATTGCTTGCCTGTTGCTTAGTAACGCCTCAGTCTGAGAGAGCTCTCAGTGTGAGAGAAGCCTCTCTGTGTGAGAGATAGCCTCAGTGGGAGAATAGGCTTCGCTGTTAGTAGGCCTCACTGTGGGAGAAAAGGCCTGTTTGTGAGGTAAACCTCTGTATGAGAAAGCCTCATGTGTGAAGCTCCAGTGTGAAGGTTGAACTTTGTCATGGAAATCTTGTTCTTGTAAATAGTGCAACTATATTATTTCACTACATGGATACAATATAAGCAGGCGTACCTGTTGCGTAGTAACACCTCAGTCTGAGAGAGCTCTCAGTGTGAGAGAAGCCTCTCAGTGTGAGAGAAGCCTCTCAGTGTGAGAGAAGTCTCTCAGTGGGAGAGAAGCCTCTCAGTGTGAGAGAGATCATTTCAGTGAGAGAAGAGGCCTCATTGTTAGTAGGCCTCCCTGTGGAAAAAAAAGGCGTCTGTGAGGTAAGCCTCTGTATGAGAAAGCCTCATGAATGAAGCTCCAGTGTGAAGGTTGAACTTTATTTGTCATGGAAATCTTGTTCTTGTAAATAGTGCAACCATATTATTTCACTACATGGATGCAATATAAGCAGGCGTGCCTACTGCTTGCCTGTTGCTTAGTAACGCCTCAGTCTGAGAGAGATCTCACTGTGAGAGAAGCCTCTCTGTGTGAGAGATCGCTTCAGTGGGAGAATAACCATATTATTTCACTACATTGAGACAATATAAGCAGGCGTGCCTATTGCTTGCCTGTTGCTTAGTAACACCTCAGTCTGAGAGAGCTCTCAGTGTGAGAGGTCTCTCTGTGTGAGAGAGATCGTTTCAGTGAGAGAATAAGCCTCATTGTTAGTAGGCCTCCCTGTGGAAGAAAAGGCCTGTCTGTGAGGTAAGCCTCTGTATGAGAAGGTCTCATGTATGAAGCTCCAGTGCGAAGGTTGAACTTTATCTGTGTCACGGAAACCTTGTTCTTGTAAATAGTGCAACCATATTATTTCACTACATGGATACAATATAAGCAGGCATGCCTATTGCTTGCCTGTGGCTTAGTAACGCCTCAGTCTGAGAGAGCTCTCAGTGTGAAAGAAGCCTCTCTGTGTGAGAGATAGCCCCAATGGGAGAATAGGCTTTGCTGTTAGTAGGCCTCACTGTGGGAGAAAAGGCATGTCTGTGAGGTAAATCTTGGTATGAGAAAGCCTCATGTATGAAGCTCCAGTGTGAAGGTTGAACTTTATTTGTCATGGAAACCTTCTTCTTGTAAATAGTGCAACCATATTATTTCACTACATGGATACAATATAAGCAGGAGTGCCTGTTGCTTAGTAACACCTCAGTCTGAGAGAGCTCTCAGTGTGAGAGAAGCCTCTCTGTGTGAGGGATTGCTTCAGTGGGAGAATAGGCCTCATTGTTAGTAGGCCTCACTGTGGAAGAAAAGGCCTGTCTGTGAGGTAAGCCTTGGTAAGAGAAAGCCTCGTGTGTGAAGCTCCAGTGTGAAGGTTGAACTTTGTCATGGAAACCTTGTTCTTGTAAATAGTGCGACCATATTATTTCACTACATGGATACAATATAAGCAGGCGTGCCTATTGCTTGCCTGTTGCTTAGTAATGCCTCAGTCTGAGAGAGCTCTCAGTGTGAGAGAAGCCTCTCTGTGTGAGGGATTGCTTCAGTGGGAGAATAGGCCTCATTGTTAGTAGGCCTCACTGTGAAAGAAAAGGCCTGTCTGTGAGGTAAGCCTTGTTAGTAGGCCTCACTGTGGGAGAAAAAGCATGTCTGTGAGGTAAGCCTTGGTAAGAGAAAGCCTCGTGTGTGAAGCTCCAGTGTGAAGGTTGAACTTTGTCATGGAAACCTTGTTTTTGTAAATAGTGCAACCATATTATTTCACTACATGGATGCAATATAAGCAGGCGTGCCTATTGCTTGCCTGTTGCTTAATAATGTCTCAGTCTGAGAGAGTTCTCAGTGTGAGAGAAGCCTCTCTGTGTGAGAGATAGCCTCAGTGGGAGAATAGGCCTCATTGTTAGTAGGCCTCACTGTGGGAGAAAAGGACTGTCTGTGCGGTAAGCCTCTGTATGAGAAATCCTTGTGTGTGGAGCTCCAATATGAAGCTCTCAGTGTGAGAGAAGCCTCTCTGTGTGAGAGAAACCTCTTTGTGTGAGAGGTCACTTCAGTGGGAAAATAGGCTTCATTGTTAGTAGGCCCCACTGTGGGAGAAAAGGCCTGTCTGTGAGGTAAGCCTCTGTATGAGAAATCCTCATGTGTGGAGCTCCAATATGAAGCTCTCAGTGTGAGAGAAGCCTCTCTGTGTGAGAGAAACCTCTCTGTGTGAGAGGTCACTTCAGTGGGAAAATAGGCTTTATTGTTAGTAGGCCTCCCTGTGGGAGAAAAGGCCTGTCTGTGAGGTAAGCCTTGGTATGAGAAAGCCTCATGTGAAGCTACAGGGTGAAGGTTGGACTTTACCTTCTTCTTGTAAATAGTGCAAACTATTATTTACTACAAAGAAACGCCTCCTATGGAAGAGAGTCTCTGTGTTTTTATTCTTTTTATCACTTTGGGATGCTAGTGCTGGGTCACGCTGCTGCTGCTAAGTTACTCTGCTATACATTTATGGGGATGGTCTTTTGTTAATAAGCCCACTCGCCCAAAAAGTAATCCTCGACCAGGTGAAGCCTTCAGGCACTTTGCAAAGGGCGCTACAACCAGGGTCCCAGAGCAGCAGAAAAGAGGATGAACATCCCGCCCACCCAGCCATCCTCTAGCAACGTACATTGCAGCAATGTATATGCAGGACATCCTTACACTGGTACTCAAGACCCACAGAGGCTCTCATTTCCTATTCTGTAGAGTGAGCAGTCCCCACAGAGACCCCTCTGTCGCCAGGCCCACCTGTTCGCTGGCCAAGAAGATCATCACATCTCCAGGCTCCTTCCGCCGATGGAGCTCCAGGGCAGCCCGGGAGGCGGCTGAGACACGCTCCCCTGGCGGGGTCTCCTGGTGGGCAAGGCGGGGTGTCGGGCCGGACCCTGGGACCCTCACTAGGGGGGCTTCCGGAAAGAAGCGGCCCAGGGACTGCTCCATGGGGGGCTCCGTCACCACCACCAGGCGCAGCTCCGGCCGCTGGCGCTGGACGTCCTTCAGGAGGCCCAGCAGGAGGTCAGTGGGCACGGTGCGGGCCTGGGTCTCGTCGAGGACCACCGCCCCATACTGGCGCAGCAGAGGGTCTGAGGTCATCTCCCGCAGAAGCACCTCATCCGAGCAGAACCTGCAACCCACACAAGTTCGACAGGAGCAGAGAAACACAACTGCACACCTGCAGCCCCCAGGAAAGGAGAAAGGCAGGTATGCAGGTATATGTTCAGGCCTCTGCCATCCAGGATCTTGATCAGAAACCTTGGAAGGAGCAAGGAAGCTGATGAGGGCATGTTTTGACCCTGCCACCCCCTTATTACAGGAACAGGCAAACTTTGGCCCTCCAGGTGTTTTCTACTAACAGTCTACTAGAGGGCCAAAGTTGCCCATGCCTGCCTTATTAGCACTCACCTCCAGAAGGTAAACCCCCCAGCCCCATGTCCCAAGAAGAAGTCCCCCACCTGAGGATTGTCTCAGAGGTGCAGCAGTCGTCGTAGGGGACGCAGTAGCCCACCTCGTGGCCCACGTTGAGGTCCATCTCGTCGGCCACACGGAGGGCAAGGCTGAGGGCGGCCAGGGTGTGAGGCTGGGTGCAGACCACCTGGCCGTGGGTAAACTGCAGTGAGAGGGCATGCTCCGCACACCACTGGGGCACCTGGGTGGGAAAGGGGAGGGGAAATGAATAGAAATAGGAGGAAAGGGAGCCTCTTCTGGGCTGGGCTTTAACACAGCTGGTAAGTTGCCAGCAACGATCAGGTCTACCAACCAAAAGGTTGCCAGTTTGAAGCCCCGGATCGGTGTGAGCACCCAACTGTCAGCCCAGCTCGCTGTTGACCTAAGCAGTTTGAAAACATCTTGAGCTGCAAGTAGAGAAATGAGATACCACCAAAACAAGCAGGGGAGGAATTTTACGACACCATAAAGAGAAAGATCAGAAAATGCCTGGCCACCAAAAGGAAGGAGGAAGTCCTGATGGCTCTTCATCATAGAGGATGGAGCGGCAACACCCCCTGTGACTGGATTCAAACACAACCTCCAAAGCACCAAAAAAGCTAGACCTCAACACAACATACCTGCTTTCTGTTCTGTCTGTCCTGTCTATCCAAAAAAACGACACTGAATGTTTGCTGTGTATGTGTACTGTGATCTGGCCTGAGTCCCCTGGGGAGATATTTATTTATTTTTTATTCAAACTTATCTGCTGCCACTCCCCTGGGGCTCAGAGCGGCTTACAAGAACAGGCTAAAATCTAACACAATTTAAAAACAATTAAAAACAATTTAAAAACTGCAATATCAAAGATCAAAGGCCTGTCGAAACAGGTATGTCTGACATGCCCTGTGGAAAGCTGATAAGTCCCGCAAGGCACAGACTTCAGGTGGCAGAGTATTCGAGAGTGATGGTGCCACTGCTGTAAAGGCTCTGCGTCTGGTTGCTGTTAGACGCAAGGTCTTGACACTGGGAATTTCCAACAAATCTTGGTCCTCAGAACGGAGGGATCTCTGGGGTTGGGAGGGGGTGAGGCGGTCCCTCAGGTACACCGGCCCCAGACCATGCAAGGCCTTAAAGGTGAGTACCATCCCTTTGAAAGTGATCCGGTGCTCAATTGGTAACCAATGCAGCTGCAGAAAGATTGGTGTTATGGGGCATCTCATCGGAATTCCCGCAAGAAGCCGAGCAGCTGCATTTTGTACCAACTTGAGCTTCCGGATGACCGACAGAGGAAGGCCAATGTAGAGGGTGTTACAGTAGTCCAGTCTTGAGATGACCGTGGCCTGGATCACCGTAGCCAGGTCGCCCCTGGACAGGGAGGGGGCCAGCCGTCTAGCCTGCCGTAGGTGAAAGAAAGAAGGCAGTTCTGCTCATGGCGGAGAGAGACCTGGGCCTCCATTGTCAGCAGAGGGTCCAAAAGGACTCCCAGACTCTTGACCAACGAGGACGGGCGTAGCGCCTCGCCATCCAGGGTAGGCAGATGGATGTCCCCACTGCCCGGTTGACCCAGCCATAGGATCTCCGTCTTTGCTGGATTCACCCTCAACCTGCTGGCACGCAGCCATCCAGTCACGGCCTCGAGGCACTGATGGAAACAATCGGGTACAGAGTCCGGTCGGCCTTCCATCTTCAGCACCAGCTGAGTGTCATCAGCGTACTGATAACACTCAAGCCCAAAACCTTGAACCAGCTGAGCAAGTGGGCGCATATAGATGTTAAACAACAAAGGGGAGAGACAGCAGCCAGATGCAGAGCCTTCACAGCAGTGGCACCATCACTCTGGAACACTCTGCCAACTGAAGTCCGTGCCTTGCGAGACCTATCAGCGTTCCGCAGGGCATGGAAGACATATTTGTTTCGACAGCCTTTTGATCTTTGATATTGCTGTTTTTTAAAACTGTTTTAGATTTTAGTCTGTTCTTGTAAGCAGTTCAGAGCCCTAGGGGAGTGGTGGCATATTCATTTGAATAATAATAATAATAATAATAATAATAATAATAATAATAATAATAAAAACAGACTGGGCTTTGACCCACAGAATGACTCCCTGGAGAACCGTGGAAGGCTTGGCACAGGCAGCCCATGAGGAAAGGCCATTCTAGGCCCCCACACGCAAAAGTTGTGGGTTCAGGTGGGCCACATTTAATTCCATGCCGGCCAGTGGAGGGAACCAGTGGGTGCTTTAGCTTGCAGTAGAGAGAGAAGCTCAAGCAAGGGTGGGAAAGGGGTTTTCCTACGATAGTTCACTACTTCTTAAACGGTGGGTCCTTGACCCCAACTGGGGGCCCCTTTACCAAACCTTGGGGGGGGGGGTCATGAAAAATATGGCCATAATAAAAAGTTTCTGGATGGCACCCATTTACACAAATCTGTTAGCAACAATGTGCAGTGTTTACAGTGGACTCTGCAAAAAATGTTTCCACTGTAGTCCAGAAAAAAAGAAAAATCTGGCCATTTAGCAAGTTTTCCAAACGCTTGATATCTATTTAATATACAGGCAGTCCCAGAGTTATAAACATCTGACTTGCAAACAACACATAGTTGCAAACGAGGCTGAGACAACAGGACGTGAGAGGAATCTTCCCCTTGGAAGGAAGGGAAATCCACTCCTGAAAAAGCTATTGCAATGAGGAAAAGGTGTCTCCACTGAAGCTTGATATCCTTGTTTATACAACAAGCCATTTTTGCAAAAGCCTTTTTTTATCCAGGGATAAAAAGTGAGACCCTGAACAAGGGTGCAGGCAGCAGAGGAAACACTACAGGTGTGTGAATCTTTCTGATTTGCAGGCTAAGAGCCCAGCCAGGATGGCACCACAGTCGTCCGTGGTCAGACAGGTGGTGTGGCTCCTCTTTGCTCAGGGATTGTTGACTGAGAGCGACAAGGAAGGGCCACACCCGGCCAAAGTCCGCCTCCTTGCAAGCTTCCCCGCAGGCTCGGTGCCAAGACAACAGCCGTGACCGGAAGATGAGGTGGTAGTCGCTGCACCTTGGGGAGGAAGGCCAGGCCCTTCCTGAGACTAGGAATTGCACCTGAGTTCTAGCCACCAAGCTCCAAAAGGAAGAAAGTGTCAGAAATATTAAAAATTAACTGGGTATTTTGGATTACAAAAGTCTAAGTCAAGCACTGAAAGAGTTCACAGACCAAAGCCTGTATAGTGAGCCAAAGCTAGTGTCGTCCTGAAGAGAGTGAGTAGGCCAAAGCCTGTAGAGTCAGTGGGCCAAAGCTAGGGTCGTCCTAAGGAGAGTGAGTAGGCTGAAGCCTTTAAGAGTCAGTGGGCCAAAGGTAGTGCTGTCCTGAAGAGAGTGAGTAGGCCAAAGCCTGTTAGAGTCAGTGTGCCAAAGTTAGTGTCGTCCTGAAGAGAGTGAGTAGGCTGAAGCCTATAAGAGTCAGTGGGCCAAAGCTAGTGTCGTCCTGAAGAGAGTGAGTAGGCTGAAGCCTATAAGAGTCAGTGGGCCAAAGCTAGTATCGTCCTGAAGAGAGTGAGTAGGCCAAAGTCTGTTAGAGTCAGTGTGCCAAAGCTAGTGTTGTCCTGAAGAGAGTGAGTAGGCTGAAGCCTGTTAGAGTCAGTGTGCCAAAGCTAGTGTTGGCCTGAGGAGAGTGAGTAGGCCGAAAACTGTTAGAGTCAGTGTGCCAGTTAGTGTCGTCCTGAGGAGAATGAGTAGGCCGAAGCCTGTTAGAGTCAGTGGGACAAAGCTAGTGTCATCCTAAGGAGAGTGAGTAGGCTGAAGCGTGTTAGAGTCAGTGGGCCGAAGCTAGTGTCGTCCTAAGGAGAGTGAGTAGGCCAAAGCCTGTTAGAGTCAGTGGGCCGAAGCTAGTGTCGTCCTGAAGAGAGTGAGTAGGCCGAAGCCTGTTAGAGTCAGTAGGCCAAAGCTAGTGTCGTCCTAAGGAGAGTGAGTAGGCCGACGCCTGTTACAGTCAGTAGGCCAAAGCTAGGGTCGTCCTGAGGAGAGTGAGTAGGCCAAAGCCTGGTAGAGTCAGTGGGCCAAAGCTAGTGTCGTCCTGAAGAGAGTGAGTAAACTGAAGCCTGGTAGTCATGGGCCTAGGCTAGTATTATCCTGAGGAGTATGAGGTAAACCTCTGTGTGAGAGAAGCCTTGTGTGAGAAAGCTCCAGTGTGAAGGCTGCTGTGTGGAAAGCTACCACATACCATGCATCTGTGGACAAGTCCACATAGGGACCACCCAACACAGCGCTCTAACACGAATCAAGGAACATGAAGGGCACTGCAAACTACTTCAACCAGAGAAGTCAGCCATAGCAGAGCACCTGATGAACCAACACAGCATATTATTTGAGGACACAGAAATGCTGGACCATTTCAGGCCACACAGAGAAGCCATTGAAATCCACAAGAAGCATGTGGACAATTTCAACAGAAAGAAAGAAACCATGAAAATGAACACAATATGGCTCCCAGTATTAAAAAAAAACCCTCTAAAATCCTAACAATAAATAAAGAACACTCAAAGAAAGGGGAACTCCAGACAAAAAACAATCAGGGACAGCTAATCACCTCTCAACAAAGGATTCCTCCAGGCAGTAAGAAGTTACGCCTGGAACTGCTAGGCTATTAAACGCTACTGGTGCCGGGTCATGCTGTGGCTAATAACTTAATGCAGTTATGAGGAGGGTCTTTTGTTAATAATCCCACTCACCCAACAGAAAGGGCTATGCTTGACTTGGACCTTTGGCAGGGACCCCCAACTCTAGCCTCAAGAAATCCCCTTCCCACTGCCCCTTCTTCCTCTCCTTTGTAATGCCACTTAGAACGGCCAGAAGGGAACCCCAAAAAGAGGCCTGGCAGAAAACAAGAATGTGGAATGACCTGCCGGAAGAGCTCCGACAATTAAATGAGTTGTTGGAATCTAAAACCCATTTAAAGACATATCTGTCCCAGGTAGGCCAACCCAACCAGTTTTAAGCATGAATGGAGCTAGGTGTGAATGTTTCAACTGACCACCTTGATTGGCATTTGATGGCCTGGCAGTGCCTGGGGCAATCTTTTGTTGAGAGGTGATTAGATGTCCTTGTTTGTTTCCTCTCTGTTGTTGTGCTGTTGTAATTTTAGAGTTTTTTAATACTGGTAGCCAGATGTTGTTCATTTTCATGGTTTCCTCCTCTATGTTGAAATTGTCCACAGGCTTGTGTTGAAACATTCACACCTAGCTCCAGCAGACAAGAGTCCTTTGTCCCACAGATATATAAACCCTTTTTCCTAGTTCCAACAGACCTCACTACTTCTGAGGATGCTTGCCACAGATGCAGGTGAAACGTCAGGAGGTAATTCCTCTAGAACATGGCCCTATAGCCCAAAAAAAACTACAACAACACAGTGACTCCGGCCATGAAAGCCTTCGACAATATATTGTTCCATTGCATCCTAGTCTCCAGGGCAGCAGAAAACAAGCCTGCTCCCTCGTACTTATGACGCCCTTTCACATATTTACACATGGCCCTCATCATGTCTCCTCTCAGTCTTCGCTTCTGCAGGGTAAACATGCCCAGCTCCTTAAGCTGCTCCTCATAGGGCTTGCTCTCCAGACCCTTGGTCATTTTAGTCGCCCTCCTCTGGACACATTCCAGCTTAGAGTCAATATCTCCCCTCAGCTGTGATGCCCAGAATTGGGCACAATATTCCACACACAGTTGACCACCATCTTTTGACCCACCGCCTTGCTGTTGCTGGAGTCAGGGGGAGAGCTTTAAACTGGCTCCCCTCCTTCCTTCACAACCGTGGAGAGCGAGTGGAGAGGGGAGGCCTGGTCTCTGAGAGGTCCCCCCTCTCTCTCTCTTGTGGGGTTCCTCCTCAGGGGGCCATTCTCTCCCCTCTCTTGTTTAACATCTCTATGCGACCACTTGCTCAGCTGGTTGGAGGTTTTGGGCTGGAATGTTACCAGTACGCCGATGACACTCAGCTGGTGCTGAAGATGGAAGGCCGGCCGGACTCTGTACCTGATTGTTTCCATCAGTGCCTCGAGGCCGTGACGGGATGGCTGCGTGCCAGCAGGTTGAGGGTGAATCCAGCAAAGACGGAGATCCTATGGCTGGGTCGACCGGGCAGTGGGGACATCCATCTGCCCACCCTGGATGGCGAGGCACTACGCCCGTCATCGTTGGTCAAGAGCCTGGGAGTCCTTTTGGACCCTCTGCTGAGGATGGAGGGCCAGGTCTCTCTCCGCCGTGAGCAGAACCGCCTTCTTTCTTTCACCTGCGGCAGGCTAGACGGCTGGCCCCCTCCCTGTCCAGGGACAACCTCGCTACGGTGATCCAGGCCACGGTCATCTCAAGACTGGACTACTGTAACACCCTCTACATTGGCCTTCCTCTGTCGGTGATCCGGAAGCTCAAGTTGGTACACAATGCAGCTGCTCGGCTTCTTGTGGGAATTCCGATGAGATGCCACATCACCCCAACCTTCCTGCAGCTGCATTGGTTACCCATTGAACACCGGATCACTTTCAAAGGGATGGGACTCACCTTGAAGGCCTTGCATGGTCTGGGGCCGATGGGACCGCCTCACCCCCTCCCAACCCCAGAGATCCCTCCGTTCTGAGGACCAAGATCTGTTGGAAGTCCCCAGTGTCAAGACCTTGCGTCTAACAGCAACCAGGCGCAGAGCCTTCACAGCAGTGGCACCATCACTCTGGAATACTCTGCCACCTGAAGTCCGTGCCTTGCGGGACTTATCAGCTTTCCGCAGGGCATGTAAGACATACCTGTTTCGACAGGCTTTTAATGTTTGATACTGCTGTTTTTAAATTGTTTTAAATTGTTTTTAAATTGTGTTAGATTTTAGCTTCTTGTAAGCCGCTCCGAGCCCCAGGGGAGTGGCCGCATAGAAGTTCAAATAATAAATAAATAAGGTGTGGTCTAACCAAGTCAGAATACAGCATGGGGAGCATGACTTCCCTAGATCTAGACACTAGATCTACCATTGGCTTTTAGAGTTGCTACATGACATTGTTGGCTCCTGTTTAACTTGTTGTCCACGAGGTCTACAAATATTTTTCACACATACTGCTAACGAGCCTGCGTGGTTTCTTATTTTATTTTCCCCTGCCACTCAAAAGAGCCAGGAAGGATCCCAAAAGGGAGGCTGGGTACAATCCACTCACCTGGGTGCTCTTTCCAGTGCCTGGTTCCCCAGAGACGAGGACGACACCCCCAGCCTCCCCCTCCATCAGCTCCATGAAGGCGAACTTGGACCCCCAGATGGGCAGGGCCCGGCGCTGGCGCAGCAGCTCGTAGTAGCGGGAGGAGAAGGGCAGCCCGTCAAAGGGGTTCACTTCCAGGTCGCCCCCAAAACCCAGCGATAGTTCCTCCGCCAAGGGGGCCTCTTCCTCCGGGGGCCCCTCCCCATCCTCCAAGGGGGGCTCCTGCCCCTCTGACGAAGATGACGCCATGAGAAGGAAGACCTGCAGAAAGAAGAGATGGGGAGGGACTTAGAAGGCCTGCCCCAAGGTTACTCTCCCTGGAAAAGGAGCAAGCAGAAGGAAAGGAAGTAAAGGAAATAGGAAGAGGAAGGAAAGGAGAGAGAAGGAAGGAAAACTTGAGAGGAGAGGAAATAGGAAGAGGAAGAAGGGGAGAGAGAAGGAAGGAAAACTTGAGAGGAAATAGAGGAAATAGGAAGAGGAAGGAAAACGAGAGGAAATAGAGGAAATAGGAAGAGGAAAGAGGGGAGAGAGAAGGAAAACTTGAGAGGAAATAAAATAGGAAGAGGAAGGAGGGGAGAAAGAAGGAAGGAAAATGAGAGGAAATAGAGGAAATAGGAAGAGGAAGGAGGGGAGAGAGGAGGAAGGAAAACTTGAAGGGAAATAGAGGAAATAGGAAGAGGAAGGAGGGGAGAGAGGAGGAAGGAAAACTTGAAGGGAAATAGAGGAAATAGGAAGAGGAAGGAGGGGAGGGAGAAGGAAGGAAAACTTGAGAGGAAATAGAGGAAATAGGAAGAGGAAGGAGGGGAGAGAGAAGGAAGAAAACCTTAAGAGGAAATAGGAAGGGGAAGGAAGGGAGAGAGAAGGAAGGAAAACTTGAGAGGAAATAAAGGAAATAGGAAGAGGAAGGAGGGGAGAGAGAAGGAAGGAAAACTTGAGAGGAAATAGAGGAAATAGGAAGAGGAAGGAGGGGAGAGAGAAGGAAGGAAAACTTGTGAGATGCAGGGAAGGCGGTTAGGAGGAAGAGAAGGAGGAAATAAAGGAAGAGGAGGAAGGAGAAGAAAAACAAGGAGGAAGGAGAAGGGGAAGAAGAAACAGGAGGAGGTGGGGAGAGAAAGGAGAAAATAGAAGAGGAGGAGGAAGTGAAGGAAGGATGCAGGGAAGGAGGAAGAGGAAGGGGAGAAAAAGGAAGTAGGGAGGAAGAAGAAGGGGAAGAAGAAGCAGGAGGATGGGAAGAGAAGGAGGAAGAGGAAGGGGAGAAAAAGGAGGAAGTGGTTAGGAAGAAGGGGAAGAAGTGAGAGGATGGGAAGAGAAGGAGGAAGAGGAGAAAAAGAGGAAGTGGGTAGGAAGAAGAAGAAGGGGAAGAAGAAGCAGGAGGATGGGAAGAAAAGGAGGAAGAGGAGAAAAAGAGGAAGTGGGTAGGAAGAAGAAGAAAGGGAAGTAGGAGGATGGGAAGAGAAGGAGGAAAAGGAGGGTGGGTAGGAAGAAGAAGAGGAAGAAGAGGCAGGAGGATGGGAAGAGAAGGAGGAAGGGGAGAAGAAGGAGGAAGTGGGTAGGAAGAAGAAGAAGGGGAAGAAGAAGCAGGAGGATGGGAAGAGAAGGAGGAAGAGGAAGGGGAGAAAAAGGAGGAAGTAGGGAGGAGGAAGAAGAAGGGGAAGAAGAAGCAGGAGGATGGGAAGAGAAGGAGGAAGGGGAGAAGAAGGAGGAAGTGGGTAGGAAGAAGAAGAAGGGGAAGAAGAAGCAGGAGGATGGGAAGAGAAGGAGGAAGAGGAAGGGGAGAAAAAGGAGGAAGTAGGGAGGAGGAAGAAGAAGGGGAAGAAGAGGCAGGAGGATGGGAAGAGAAGGAGGAAGGGGAGAAGAAGGAGGAAGTGGGTAGGAAGAAGAAGAAGGGGAAGAAGAAGCAGGAGGATGGGAAGAGAAGGAGGAAGAGGAAGGGGAGAAAAAGGAGGAAGTAGGGAGGAGGAAGAAGAAGGGGAAGAAGAGGCAGGAGGATGGGAAGAGAAGGAGGAAGGGGAGAAGAAGGAGGAAGTGGGTAGGAAGAAGAAGAAGGGGAAGAAGAAGCAGGAGGATGGGAAGAGAAGGAGGAAGAGGAAGGGGAGAAAAAGGAGGAAGTAGGGAGGAGGAAGAAGAAGGGGAAGAAGAAGCAGGAGGATGGGAAGAGAAGGAGGAAGGGGAGAAAAAGGAGGAAGTGGTTAGGAAGAAGGGGAAGAAGTGAGAGGATGGGAAGAGAAGGAGGAAGAGGAGAAAAAGAGGAAGTGGGTAGGAAGAAGAAGAAGGGGAAGAAGAAGCAGGAAGATGGGAAGAGAAGGAGGAAGAGGAAGGAAAAGGAGGAAGAAGAAGGAAAGAGGAAGAAGGGGAGAGAAAGAAGGAGAATGGGAAGAGAAGGAGGAAGAGGAAGGGGAAAGGAAGGAAAAGGAGGGGGGTGCAGAAGGAGGCGGAAGTGCAGCCCCTTCCTACGCCCAACAGGTGGAGGCAGGTAAAGGGGGGGGGCTGCTTCCGGCCTTTTTCCCCAGGTGAGACCCACCCCTGCCTTGCTTCCGGTGGGTCTCTGCTTCCGCCTTCTCCGTGAGGCGCCTTGGCCCCGCCCCTCCTCGTGACGCAGCCCCCCTCTTCCCCCGCAGCGCGTCTTGGCCAATCGCAGAAGGGGAAAGCAGCTCCACTTCCGGCCTGGCGCTCCACCCATTCCAAGACGTCACTCACACCTGGCTATTACTCGAGGCCCCGCCCCTCTTTCGGCCAGCCAATCACATTGCAGGTTTGTCCTTGAAGCCCCACCCTCTTGGAAGAGAGTCTTAGAGTCTTGTCTATTAATTTCCCAGCTGTGTTTATGGCTGTTTGGCAATGGAATGTGTTGCTTCCTGGGAGCACAATGGAGTCCCCTTCTCTGGCTGGCTACCCATCTGTCAGGAAGGCTTTGATTGTGCCTTTCTGGATGGCAGAAGGAAGGGGGTTGGGCTGGATGACCTTTGGGAGTCCCTTCCAATTATAGGATTCTATAAGTCAATGTTTCTCAACCTTCCCAATGCTGCCACCCCTGAAAACAGTTCCTCATGTTGTGATATTTATTTATTTATCGTGTCAGGAGCAAACCAAACAGTTGTATTGCTTTTTAAACAAACAAAGCACAAAGTTTGCAAGCTTGGTAGTGGATTAAATGTCCTTTGACCAGTTCTCTGGCCCCTTGGGGTGCCTCTGGTGTTGCCGCAAGAAGGTCCTCCATGGTGCATGTGGCAGGGCTCAGGTTGCATTGCAGCAGGTGGTCAGTGGTTGGCTCTTCTCCACACTCGCATGTCGTGGATTCCACTTTGTGGCCCCATTTCTGAAGGTTGGCTCTGCATCTCGTGGTGCCAGAGCGCAGTCTGTTCAGCGCCTTCCAAGTCGCCCAGTTTTCTGTGTGCCCAGGGGGGAGTCTCTCATTTGGTATCAGCCATTGGTTGAGGTTCTGGGTTTGAGCCTGCCACTTTTGGACTCTCGCTTGCTGAGGGGTTCCAGCGAGTGTCATAAGCAAATAAAACATCAAGCAAAGCATTAGAATAATAAAAAACAATGACACAGTGACGCATTTAAAACCAAGGGCCGGGCCAAGTGTAATGGACAAAATTTAAAAGTACTGGACTTGACAAGTGATATGTAGAGATATTTGGAGGTAGTTGCAATGTGCAGATAATCCTGAGTCTCTAACAAAGTGCATTTGGGACTTGATGCCGGGAGTTTCCTATTCTGGAAAGGCACACTGGAACAGCTCTTCCTAAAGATTGCCAGCGTTGGGGCTTGTCTGATATCCTTGGGTAGAGAGTTCCAGAGTCGGGGGGCCACCACAGAGAAGGCCCTGTCCCTCGTCCCCACCAGACACGCCTGTGACGCAGGTGGGATCGCGAGCAGGGCCTCTCCAGATGATCAAAGGGAATGCGTGGGTTCGTAAACGGAGATGCGGTCACGCAGGTAGGCGGGTCCCAAACCGTTCAGGGCTTTGTAGGTAAGTACCTGCACCTTGAATTGGGACCGGAAAATGAATGGCAGCCAATGGAGCTCCTTGAACAAGAGGGTTGACCTCTCTCTTAGAAATTTACAGAGTGTCAAACAGGGATGTGTTATTGCACCAACTTTATTTTCCATCTTCATCGCTATGATACTTCACCTTGTTGATGGGAAGCTTCCCACTGGAGTGGAAATTATCTATTGGACAAATGGCAAGCTATTCAACCCCAGCAGACTGAAAGCCAAAACCAAGGTTACAACATGTGCACCAGTTGTGCACCAGTTGCGCCCGTACCTTGGGAAGTCTGATCTAGCCACAGTGGTCCACACTCTTGTTACATCCCAAATAGACTACTGCAACGCACTCTACGTGGGGTTGCCCTTGAAGACTGTTCGGAAACTTCAACTGGTCCAGCGAGCGGCAGCCAGATTGCTCACCGGAGCGACATACAGGGAGCACACCACCCCTCTGTTGTGTCAGCTCCACTGGCTGCCGATCCAGTTCTGAGCACAATTCAAAGTGCTGGTTTTGACCTACAAAACCCTATACGGTTCTGGCCCAGTGTATCTGTCCAAACGTATCTCCTTCTACGTCCCGCCTCGGAGTTTACAATCTTCTGGCGAGGCCCTGCTCTCGGCCCCACCTCTATCATAAGTGAGGTTGGTGGGGACGAGGAGCAGGGCCTTCTCAGTGGTGGCCCCTCGCCTGTGGAATTCGCTCCCCGGGGAAATTAGGTCATCGACATCCCTCCTCTCAGAAGGAAATTCCATGTTTTTAATTTCCTCTCTTAGGAGGAAATTAAAAACATGGATTTGGGACCAGGCCTTTGGGTAATCTGGCAGACAGACAAAGGACTAGTGACAACAACTGATGGACTTGACAGTGTGGAATTGAATTTATGTACTCTGATCTGGCAAACGTTGAGCATTAGATTGGTTTTATAGATTTTGATGTATGATGTATAATGGATTGTTTTAATTGTTTTAATTACTGTTTACATATGTTTATTTTTACCTTATTGTTGTGCCAACATCGAATTGTGCCTTTTGTAAGCCGCCCTGAGTCCCCCCTCGGGGGTTGAGAAGGGCAGGGTAGAAGTGCAATAAATAAATAAATAAATATCAGCTATTGATTGACGTTCTGGGTTTGAGCCTGCCACTTTTGGACTCTTGCTTGCTGGGGTTTTCCAGCAAGTGTCTCTGTATTATTATTATTATTATTATTATTATTATTATTATTATTATTAACTTTATTTATACCCCGCAAAATCTCCCGAAGGACTCGATGTGGCTTACAAAGGCCAAGGCCGCCAACAACAATAACATACACACACACAATAAAAGTCATAAGCAAATAAAACATCAAGCAAAGCATTAGAATAATAAAAAACATTGACACAGTGACGCATTTAAAACCAAGGGCCGGGCCAAGTGTAATGGACAAAATTTAAAAGTACTGGACTTGACAAGTGATATGTAGAGATATTTGGAGGTAGTTGCAATGTGCAGATAATCCTGAGTCTCTAACAAAGTGCATTTGGGACTTGATGCCGGGAGTTTCCTAATCTGGAAAGGCACACTGGAACAGCCAGGTCTTCAGGCTCTTCCTAAAGATTGCCAGCGTTGGGGCTTGTCTGATATCCTTGGGTAGAGAGTTCCAGAGTCAAGGGGCCACCACAGAGAAGGCCCTGTCCCTCGTCCCCACCAGACACGCCTGTGACGCAGGTGGGATCGCGAGCAGGGCCTCTCCAGATGATCAAAGGGAATGCGTGGGTTCGTAAACGGAGATGCGGTCACGCAGGTAGGCGGGTCCCAAACCGTTCAGGGCTTTGTAGGTAAGCACCTGCACCTTGAATTGGGACTGGAAAATGAACAGCAGCCAATGGAGCTCCTTGAACAAGAGGGTTGACCTCTCTCTGTAAGGAGTACCAGTTAATAACCTGGCTGCCGCTCGTTGGACCAGTTGGAATTTCTGAGCCGTTTTCAAGGGCAGCCCCATGTAGAGCGCATTACAGTAGTCCAATCTAGAGGTGACCAAGGCATGGACCACCCCGGCCAGATCAGCCGTTACGAGGTAAAGGCTGATCTGGCCGGGGTGGTCCATGCCTTGGGGGGGGGGGGCAGAGCAAGGGGGTGACATGTTAATAAAAGTTCCAACACTGAACTATATTAAGCCGCAGCATCTCCTCCAAGGGCAGCAATGACAATGGTGGTTGAACAAGCCAGTGTTGTAACACAACAGCCAAGGGGGCGATGGTGGAGGAGGCCCCAAGACTGCCTGTCTGGCTTGAACACTGCAGCAGCAATGCCAGAGGGGATGATGATGGAAATACAGAACTCCAGTATGCTGATGACAATGTCATTTGTGCACATTCAGAAGAAGATCTACAAGCCACTCTTAACACCTTCACAGAAGCATACACGAAGCTTGGCCTGTCATTGAACATTGAAAAAACCAAGGTGCTGTTCCATCAGTCACCAGCCAACCCCTCTCCAATGCCAGCGATACAGCTTAATGGTGTAACATTAGAAAACGTTGACCATTTCCGCTCCCTTGGCAGCCCCCTCTCCACAAAAGTCAACATTGACACTGAAATTCTACACCACCTGAGCTCTGCGAGTGCAGCATTTTCCCAAATGAAGCAGAGAGTGTTTTAGGACCGGGACATCCGTAGGGAGACCAAGGGGCTTGTTTATAAAGCTATTGTCCTCCCAACCCTGCTACACACCTGCAAAATGTGGACTGTCTACAGACGTCAGATGCAACTCCTGGAACGATTCCATCAGTGCTGCCTCCGGAAAATCCTGCAAATCTCTTGGGAAGACAAGTGGACAAAGGTCAGCGTGCTGGAAGAAGTAAAGACCACCAGCATTGAAGCGATGGTCCTCCAACATCAACTCCGCTGGATCAGCCACATTGTCCGGATGCCCGACCACCGTCTCCCAAAGCAGTTGCTCTACTCCGAACTCAAGAACGGAAAACGGAACGTTGGTGGGCAGGAAAAGAGATTGAAAGATGGGCTCAAAGCCATCCTTAAAAACTCTGGCATAGACACTGAGAACTGGGAAGCCCTGGCCCTTGATCGCTCCAGCTGGAGGTCAGCTGTGACCAGCAGTGCTGCAGAATTCGAGGAGGCACGAGTGGAGGGTGAAAGAGAGAAACGTGCCAGGAGGAAGGCGCGTCAAGCCAACCCCGACCGGGACCGCCTTCCACCTGGAAACCAATGCCTTCACTGCGGAAGAAGATGCGGGTCAAGAAGAGGGCTCCACAGCCACCTACAAACCCACAAGGAAACGCATAATGGAAGACCACCTTACTTGTCCAACGAGGGATCAAGCCCCTTGGTCTCCTTACGGATGTCCTGGTCCTCAAACATTCTGTGCTTCATTCGGAAAAATGCTGCACTCGCAGAGCTCAGGCGGTGTTGTATTTCAGTCTTGATGTCTGTAGACAGTCCATGTCTCGCAGGTGTATAGCAGGGTTGGGAGGACAATAGCTTTATAGACAATCCCCTTGGTCTCCCTATGGATGTCCTGGTCCTCAAACACTCTCTGCTTCATTCGGAAAAATGCTGCACTCGCAGAGCTCAGGCGGTGGTGAATTTCGGTGTCAATGTTGACTTTGGTGGAGAGGTGGCTGCCAAGGGAGCAGAAATGCAATAACATTTAGAATCATAGAATCATAGAATCAAAGAGTTGGAAGAGACCTCATGGGCCATCCAGTCCAACCCATTCTGCCAAGAAGCAGGAATATTGCATTCAAATCACCCCTGACAGATGGCCATCCAGCCTCTGTTAAAAGCTTCCAAAGAAGGAGCCTCCACCACACTCCCTCCGGGGCAGAGAGTTCCACTGCTGAACGGCTCTCACAGTCAGGAAGTTCTTCCTCATGTTCAGATGGAATCTCCTCTCTTGTAGTTTGAAGCCATTGTTCCATTGCGTCCTAGTCTCCAGGGAAGCAGAAAACAAGCTTGCTCCCTCCTCCCCCCTGTGGCTTCCTCTCACATGGCTATCATGTCTCCTCTCATCCTTCTTTTCTTCAGGCTAAACATGCCCAGCTCCTTAAGCCGCTCCTCATAGGGCTTGTTCTCCAGACCCTTGATCATTTTAGTCGCCCATAAACACAATCACAATGACATTGGGCGGGCTACATGCAATTGTTGAAAGAAAACTAATTAAAAACTAATTAAAAACTCGAGTGAGATAGGAGAAGCAGGTTATTTATGGAAGAGGGCTCATTAAAACACGGGTTGTGGAATTAAGTTTTCCCACAAAAAAAGGGGGGGGGTATACTCCAATGACAGGTGGAATCTCCTTTCCTGTAGTTTGAAGACACAATCCAAGCCCTCCTGACAGATGTACATCTAACCTCTGCTTGAAAACACCTAGTCATGGAGACTCACTACCTCTGAGGATGCTTGCCATAGATGCAGGCGAAACGTCAGGAGAGAATGCCTCCAGACAATGGCCATATAGCCCGAAAAAACCTACAACAACCCTCCAGAGGCGGTTGCATAATATTCCGCTGAGGCAGGACTGGTCAAAACAATTCTAGAGGGAGGGAGGGACCCCAGGGGTCATCCAGCCCAACCCTCTTCTTTCTGCCAAGCAGGGAGACACCATCCAAGCCTTCCCGACAGACAGCCATGCAGCCTCTGCTTCAGAATCACAAGAGAATCATAGAATCCTAGAATCAAAGAGTTGCACTCATTTTAGTCGCTCTCCTCTGGACACATTTCCTAATGTTACCCCATTAAGCTGTCTGATGGCCATTCATATGTGCTGGGGAGTCGCAGCCCAAGGCTAGCTGAGGGTCCCTCCCTCCCCCGCCCTCTCCTTCTCCCCCTCCCCTCGCAGGCCCCGCCCCCCTCAAAGCCCTGCCCTCCACAGACACGCGAGTCTCCCTCCCCACGCTGCTGCTTCCCTTCGCAATCCCGGCTGAAGGCGCAGCGGCGGCGGCGGCAGAACTTCGCTCCGGAGAGTTTCGCGTGGGTAACCGTGGGAAGGGGAGGGAGGGCTCCTTTTGGGGGAGGGGGTCTCCAACCCCATGAATCCTGGAAGCAGCACCTTCTCAAGGCTGGAGGAAAGTGGGAGTTGGAGTCCAAAACACCTAGAAGGACGAAATTTGCCCATGCCTGCCCAGGAATCTCCTTCTTTGGAGGCTTTGAAAGAGAGGCTGGATGGCCATCTGTCAGGGGTGATTTGAATGCAATATTCCTGCTTCAGAATGGGGTTGGACTGGATGATTGCCCAGGAGGTCTCTTCCAACTCTTTGATTCTAGGATTCTATGATTCTCTTGTGATTCTGAAGCAGAGGCTGCATGGCTGTCTGTCGGGAAGGCTTGGATGGTGTCTCCCTGCTTGGCAGAAAGAAGAGGGTTGGGCTGGATGACCCCTGGGGTCCCTCCCTCCCTCTAGAATTGTTTTGACCAGTCCTGCCTCAGTGGAATATTATGCAACCGCCTCTGGAGGGTTGTTGTAGGTTTTTTCGGGCTATATGGCCATTGTCTGGAGGCATTCTCTCCTGACGTTTCGCCTGCATCTATGGCAAGCATCCTCAGAGGTAGTGAGTCTCCATGACTAGGTGTTTTCAAGCAGAGGTTAGATGTACATCTGTCAGGAGGGCTTGGATTGTGTCTTCAAACTACAGGAAAGGAGATTCCACCTGTCATTGGAGTATACCCCCCCCCTTTTTTTGTGGGAAAACTTAATTCCACAACCCGTGTTTTAATGAGCCCTCTTCCATAAATAACCTGCTTCTCCTATCTCACTCGAGTTTTTAATTAGTTTTTAATTAGTTTTCTTTCAACAATTGCATGTAGCCCGCCCAATGTCATTGTGATTGTGTTTATGGGCAACTAAAATGATCAAGGGTCTGGAGAACAAGCCCTATGAGGAGCGGCTTAAGGAGCTGGGCATGTTTAGCCTGAAGAAGAGAAGGCTGAGAGGAGACATGATAGCATGTATAAATAAATATGTGAGAGGGAGCAAGCTTGTTTTCTGCTTCCCTGGAGACTAGGACGCAATGGAACAATGGCTTCAAACTACAAGAGAGGAGATTCCATCTGAACATGAGGAAGAACTTCCTGACTGTGAGAGCCGTTCAGCAGTGGAACTCTCTGCCCTGGAGTGTGGTGGAGGCTCCTTCTTTGGAAGCTTTTAAACAGAGGCTGGATGGCCATCTGTCAGGGGTGCTTTGGATGCAATATTCCTGCTTCTTGGCAGAATGGGGTTGGACTGGATGGCCCAGGAGGTCTCTTCCAACTCTTGGATTCTATGATTCTATGATTCTATTGTAATTTTATATTATTATGTATTCATATGTGTTTGTAATTATGATGTTGTTGTTGTTTATTGTTTGCGTTTTCGGTTTTATTCTGTTGTAATTTGTTGTCTGGGCTTGGCCCAATCTAAGCCACCCCGAGTCCCTAGCGGGGAGATGGTGGTGGGGTATAAATAAAGTTTTATTATTATTATTATTATTATTTATAAAAAATATTTTTTATTATTATTTATTATAAATAAAGTTTTATTATTATTTATTATAAATAAAGTTTTTTATTATTATTTATTATAAATAAAGTTTTTTATTATTATTTATTATAAATAAAGTTTTTTATTATTATTTATTATAAATAAAGTTTTTTATTATTATTTATTATAAATAAAGTTTTTTATTATTATTTATTATAAATAAAGTTTTATTATTATTTATTATAAATAAAGTTTTATTATTATTTATTATAAATAAAGTTTTTTATTATTATTTATTATAAATAAAGTTTTATTATGATTATTTATTATAAATAAAGTTTTTATTATTATTATTATTTATAAATAAAGTTTTATTATGATTATTTATTATAAATAAAGTTTTATTATTATTTATTATAAATAAAGTTTTATTATTATTACTTATTATAAATAAAATTTTATTATTATTATTATTATAAATAAAATTTTATTATTATTATTATTTATTATAAATAAAATTTTATTATTATTATTTATTATAAATAAAGTTTTTTATTATTATTTATTATAAATAAAGTTTTTTATTATTATTTATTATAAATAAAGTTTTTTATTATTATTTATTATAAATAAAGTTTTTTATTATTATTTATTATAAATAAAGTTTTATTATTATTTATTATAAATAAAGTTTTATTATGATTATTTATTATAAATAAAGTTTTATATGATTATTTATTATAAATAAAGTTTTTATTATTATTATTATTATTATTATTATTATTATTATTATTATTAACATGAGCAAGAATTTCCTAACAGTGAGAGCTCTTCAGCAGTGGAATATTCTCTCTCTCTGTTCTCTCTACTCCTTCTCTGGAGGCTTTGAAGCAGAGGCTGGATGGCCATCTGTCGGGGGTGCTTTGAATACAATTTTCCTGCATCTTGGCAGAATGGGGTTGGACTGAATGGCCCACAAGGTCTCTTCCAAGACTAGGATTCTATGATTTAGTGTGGTGGAGGCTCCTTCTTTGGAGGCTTTTAAACATAGGTTGGATGGCCATCTGTCAGGTGTGCTTTGAGTGCAATTTTCCTGCATCTTGGCAGAATGGGGTTGGACTGAATGGACCACAAGGTCTCTTCCAAGACTAGGATTCTATGATTTAGTGTGGTGGTGGCTCCTTCTTTGGAGGCTTTTAAACATAGGTTGGATGGCCATCTGTCGGGGGTGCTTTGAATACAATTTTCCTGCATCTTGGCAGAATGGGGTTGGACTGAATGGACCACAAGGTCTCTTCCAAGACTAGGATTCTATGATTTAGTGTGGTGGTGGCTCCTTCTTTGGAGGCTTTTAAACATAGGTTGGATGGCCATCTGTCGGGGGTGCTTTGAATGCAATTTCCCTGCATCTTGGCAGAATGGGGTTGGACTGGATGGCCCACAAGGTCTCTTCCAAGACTAGGATTCTATGATTCAGTGTGGTGGAGGCTCCTTCTTTGGAGGCTTTGAAAAAGAGGCTGGATGGCCATCTGTCAGGGGTGCTTTGAATGCGATTTCCCTGCTTCTTGGCCGAATGGGGTTGGACTGGATGGCCGTTGGAGTCCCTTCCAACTCTAGGATTCTATAAGTGTTGTTGTGAACTGCTGGCAAGTTACTGTCAATCTGTTGGGATGCCATGAATGAAAGCCCTCTGCAATCCTTGCTGTGGGATTCTGAGCATTGTTCGCTTCCCTGGAAGAGGATTGCAATGATCCTGAGGGGATTGCACTCTATGATGGGATAGGAATGTATATCCAGCGTTGGTTTCCATCAAGGGGCCATTGCATTGCTTTCCCTGCTTTTGTGAGTCAAGGACTGGCTAAAGTAAGCTTGGGCCAACGTTGGCCCTCCCTCCAGGTGTTTTGGACTTCAACTCCCACCATTCCTAAGAGCTTAAGGCCTTTTCCTTTGCCCCCTCAGCCACTTAAGCTGAGTGCTGGGCCCATAACCAAAGTTAAGCTGAGTGCTGGGCCCATAACCAGGTTAAGCTGAAATCTGGGCCCATAACCAAAGTGAAGCTGAGTGCTGGGCCCATAACCAAAGTTAAACTGAGTGCTGGGCCCATAACCATATTTAAGCTGCGTACTGGGCCCATAACAATAGTTAAGCTGAGTGCTGGGCTCATAACCAAATTAAGCTGATTGCTGAGTGCTGGGCCCATAACCATAGTTAAGCTGAGTGCTGGGCCCATAACCAAAGTTAAGTTGAGTGCTGGGCCCATAACCACAGTCAAGCTGAGGGCTGGGCCCATAATCGTAATTAAACTGAGTGCTGGGCCCATAACCATAGTCAAGCTGACTGCTGGGCCCATAAGCAACACTTAAGCAGCTGAGGGGGGAAAGGAAGGGGGCTGAGGCTGAGGAATGGTGGGAGTTGAAGTCCAAAACACCCGGAGAGATGGCCAAAGTTGCAACTTCTTCACAGGTGGCTCTGAAGGGTGTCCTTGTGTGTCCCCGTCTGCAGCCGGCACCCAATTATCTTGCAAGTGTGAGCCAAAAGCATCCACATGCAGCTCTCAAAGGATCCCATCAAACAGAAAGTGACACTTGATGGTCAAGCGGAGCACTTGATCAAAAGGGAACGGCCTGGGACTGGTCTGCTTGCAAAGACCTGAACTGGTGGCTCGAGGCAGGCGTTGGTGGCATGTGGCAACCAGGCAGGAGGCAAGGGCCATGTTTGCAAGAAGACAACAGCTGAAGGGGGGGGGGGCACATAAGGGTCTCTTCAGGCCTATCTGTCCCCCCTAACCCACCCCCATTGAGCTGCCTTTGCCCCCCTGAAGGAAGGCTATGCAGTGGCGGAGGCGGCAGCGGCTGCTAAGCTGCTATTCTTAGCATTGGCTTCCGCTTGGCTGGCGCTGCGACTCATCCCCTGTTTATGCTGAAGGGGCTGCTTTTCCAGTTGCCTTCTTTTTTTCCTTTGCAGAGAGATCAAAGCGGGTCTCTTTCAGTTTTGTAATCCTGCTCCGGCCTCTCTTAAAGGGATAGCCATGCTCCACCGAGGGCGGTAGGTGTGGGGACGGAGCGAGTCGGACACTTCGGCTGACCCACTTCCTCCAGCACGGCCCTCTAGGAAGGAAGGCAGGCAGTAGCAGAGCCTTTTTGGTGGCAGCCCCCTTTGCAGCATTCGGTCTCTTTGTGAGGGCAGCAAAGGCCTCCGATGGGCCCACTTGGGGCGACTGGTTGTTGGGATTTATTGTTGTGTCAGAGCAACCAGTCCATTATATTACATTTCTAACAGAACAAAGCAAACAAACAGACAAAACACAAATTTTGCAAACTTGGTAGCTGATTAAATGTCCTTTGACCAGTATCTGGCCACTTGGAGTGCCTCTGGTGTTGCTGCAAGAAGGTCCTCCATTGTGCATGTGGCAGGGCTCAGGTTGCATTGCAGCAGGTGGTCAGTGGTTTGCTCCTCTCCACACTCGCATGTCGTGGATTCCACTTTGTAGCCCCATTTCTTGAGGTTGGCTCTGCATCTCGTGGTGCCAGAGCGCAGTCTGTTCCGCGCCTTCCAAGTCGCCCAGTCTTCTGTGTGCCCAGGGGGGAGTCTCTCATTTGGTATCAGCCATAGGTTGAGGTTCTGGGTTTGAGCCTGCCACTTTTGGACTCTCGCTTGCTGAGGTGTTCCAGCGAGTGTCTCTATAGATCTTAGAAAACTATTTTAGATTTAAGTCGTTGGCATGCTGGCTGATACCCAAACAAGGGATGAGCTGGAAGATGTCTGCCTTGGTCCTTTCACTATTGGCTGCTACTTCCCGGCGGATGTCAGGTGGTGCCATACTGGCTAAGCAGTGTAATTTCTCCAGTGGTGTAGGGCGCAGACACCCCGTGATAATGCGGCATGTCTCATTAAGAGCCACATCCACTGTTTTAGTGTGATGTGTTCCACACTGGGCATGCATACTCAGCAGCAGAGTAGCATAGCGCAAGGGCAGATGTCTTCACTGTGTCTGGTTGTGATCCCCAGGTTGTGCCAGTCAGCTTTCGTATGATATTGTTTCTAGCACCCACTTTTTGCTTGATGTTCAGGCAGTGCTTCTTGTAGGTCAGAGCACAGTCCAGAGTGACTCCCAGGGATTTGGGTGTGCTGCAATGCTCCAGTGGGATTCCTTCCCAGGTAATCCTCAGAGCTCGGGATGCTTGTCTGTTCTTAAGGTGGAAAGCACATGTCTGTGTTTTAGATGGGTTAGGGATCAGCTGGTTTTCCCTGTAATAGGCAGTAAGAGCACCTAGAGCTTCGGAGAGCTTCTGTTCTACCATCTCAAAGCTCCCTGCTTGAGCAGTAATGGCACGATCATCAGCATAGATGAACTCTCTGTCCCTTCTGGCAGTGGCTGGTCATTTGTGTAAATGTGAACATGGATGGAGCAAGCACACTCCCCTGAGGCAGGCCGTTCTTCTGTTTCCGCCATCTGCTTCTCTGGCCCTGGAACTCAACAAAAAAGCTCCTGTTTTGTAGCAGGTTTCCTATGAGGCGGGTGAGGTGGTCGTCCTTTGTGATATCCGTCTCAAAACTCCCTGCTTGAGCAGTAATGGCACGATCATCAGCATAGATGAAACTCTCTGTCCCTTCTGGCAGTGGCTGGTCATTTGTGTAGATGTTGAACATGGATGGAGCAAGCACGCTCCCCTGAGGCAGGCCGTTCTTCTGTTTCCGCCACCTGCTTCTCTGGCCCTGGAACTCAACAAAGAAGCTCCTGTTTTGTAGCAGGTTTCCTATAAGGCGGGTGAGGTGGTCGTCCTTTGTGATATCCGTCTCAAAACTCCCTGCTTGAGCAGTAATGGCACGATCATCCGCATAGATGAAACTCTCTGTCCCTTCTGGCAGTGGCTGGTCATTTGTGTAGATGTTGAACATGGATGGAGCAAGCACGCTCCCCTGAGGCAGGCCGTTCTTCTGAGGACTGGAGACTTGATGACACAAGAGACTTGTGCAATCCAGGGATGAAACGCAACACATAATTTGGGAAAATTGCAGGATTGTTCCTTTAAAGAGCCTTTGTGATGGTTGAGGGAACCTCATTTACATAGTGGCTTCTCTTCTCTGTAGGTCCGACTTCTGGTGGGTCCAGCAGTGACATCCAGACTCTTCCCTGCCCTACGAGTGACCAAAGCCCCCCCGAGGACGATGACAGCCCCTGCCTCCCATCCTCTCCACCGGCCACTCAAGAGTCCTCTCCCAACCAGTGATGGCCATCCTTTCAGACTCTGAGAAGGCGACTGGGGCCTGTGGTTGACCATGGGGCTGCAACTCGGCCCTTACCAGCGATGACCCTCCAGACTCCCACCCGTCTTCCGGCCAAGACCCTGGACATTGCTGCTCTCCAGCCAAGAGATGCCTTGCATCCCCGACTTACCTCATTCCCATCTCTGAGCAGGCAAAAGGTCATGGACCGTGGCAGGCCTTGACCGGTGGGCTGGGGGGCCGGGGGTGCCATGGTCAGCAAGGAGGAGGCGGGCCCCAGCTTGGGCCCCCCGAGTGCAGCCCCTGAGGAGAAAGCTATGACGGTGCGGTCAGTGCTGCTGCGACGCGACTCACCGGGTGCCGAGGGACGCGCACAACGCCGCCTGCACCGCCCAGCTCAGCAAGTGCGCTTCAAGGACCTGGAGGAGAGCGCCAGTGCCGCCGAGGAGCCCCCCACCCGGAACACCCCTTGTGCCTCTGCCGCCCCCAAACGCCCGGGGGCCAGCTCTGCCCGGAGGAGTTGGCCCCAGGCACAGCCACTCCTACAGCCCCCTACCCACAAGTCCTGTGCCAGCACTGCCATCCAGACCTCACCCAGCCTGCGGAGACCCTCTTGGGTGGCCCCTCTCCGCAGCGGTAGCACCCCTGAGGTTGCCTGCCTCTCTGCACAGAGCCAGCCCCCAGCCCCCTTATCCCGCACCCAGCCGTGCCCCCAAAGGGGAGCCGCTCAGTGCCCGTCGAGGCTGCCACCTCCGTGGTGCCCTTGCCCGCCGTACCCCAGTCTCCCACTCAGTCCTGCTTCCCAATGCAAGCCGCAGAGGGGCAGCCCTCCCCCTTATCCTCTCGCTCAGAGAGACCCCCGCCCTGCCTCTCCCCTTCTCCGGGAGTCCTGCCCCCAGCTCCCCCGTGGAAGCCCCCCAAATTCTACCACATCAGGGAAACCACCTCCACCAGCCTCCCCCATGTGCCTTGGGGCCCAGCCGGCCGCTTGCCCACCTCCCCAGAGCAGACAGCCCTCTCCTGCGGGACCCAAGAGCCTGCTGCCCTCCAGGATCCCGTGCCGTAGCCTCTCCCCGATGCCGGCCGGGGCACTGTGCAACGTCCACAACCTGCTGCAGCTGGTGCCCATCGGCAAGAGGACAGAAGAGCAAGAGGAGGACGAGGAGGAAGGGCACTCGGCGGCATCGCAAGGCGACATCCGTTCCCGGCTGCGGTCCCTGGAGGGAGTTCTGGAGACCAGCCAGCAGACCATCCGGGTGCTTCTGGGGGTCATCCAGGACCTGGAGAAGAAGGAGGCTCAGCGGGATGGGTGAGAATAGAAGAGAATGTGTTTATTTATTCGTTTACAGCATTTATACTCTGCTCTTCTCATCCTGATGGGGACTCAGGGCAGATCACAGAGCACATCAGAGCAGTACGTGGGGAAAAGATCTTGGAGTCCTCGTGGACAACAAGTTAAACATGAGCCAACAATGTCATGTGGCGGCAAAAAAAGTCAATGGGATTTTGATCTGCATAAATAGGAGCCTAGTGTCTAGATCTAGGGAAGTCATGCTCCCCATGCTCTATTCTGCCTTGGTTAGACCATACCTGGAATACTGTGTCCAATTCTGGGCACCACAATTCAAGAGAGATATTGACAAGCTGGAATGTATCCAGAGAAAGAGGGCGACTCAAATGATCAAGGGTCTGGAGAACAAGCCCTATGAGGAGCGGCTTAAGGAGCTGGGCATGTTTAGCCTGAAGAAGAGAAGGATGAGAGGAGACATGATAGCCATGGATAAATATGTGAGAGGAAGCCACAGGGAGGAGGAGGGAGCAAGCTTCCTTTCTGCTTCCCTGGAGACTAGGACGCAAAACAATGGCTTCAAACTACAGGAGAGGAGATTCCATCTGAACATGAGGAAGAACTTCCTGACTGTGAGAGCCATTCAGCAGTGGAACTCTCTGCCCCGGAGTGTGGTGGAGGCTCCTTCTTTGCAGCTTTTAAACAGAAGCTGGATGATCATCTGTCAGGGGTGATTTGAATGCAATATTCCTGCTACTTGGCAGAATGGGGTTGGAGTGGATGGCCCAGGAGGTCTCTTCCAACTCTTTGATTCTATGATTCTACATTCAATGCCATTAAACAGACAGAACAAACAACAAAGAGAAGCGCCCAGTTTCTCCGAAAATAATTAATTTTTGCTCCCAAAATTGCACTAGGTCTTATTTTCAGGGGATGTCTTATTTTTCCATGAAGAATAATTCAAAAAATCAAAAAACCCTAAAAAGCAAAAAGACGCTATAGTACATGCACAAAACAACTTCCCCTGGCAAACAAAATGCCCAATAGCATATCTACACTCCCTTCCGGACTACAACTCCCAGCATCCCCTAGATCAGGCCCTTTAGGAGAGGAGGATGATTAATTCAATAAATTCAAACCAAAAAAAGTAAAATAAACAACAACGCTATAGTGCATGTGCAAAACAACTCCCCCTGGCAAACAAAATGCCCAATAGCATATCCACACTCTGTTTTGGACTACAGCTCCCAGCATCCCCTAGACCAGGCCCTTTAGGAGAGGAGGATGATCCAAATGAACTGCTCCCAATCTGCAATCTTTCTTCTCCTTGGATCTCTTTGAGAGCATCCCCATCCCTGCATATTTCCAATTTCTTATTCCTGAACTGCAACTCCCAGCAATCCTCCAGATAGATAAGATAGATAGATTAGATAGAGAAAGGTAGGTAGGTGGATCAATTGATCAGGAGGACTGCTGGGAGTTGCAGTCCAAGAATAGGTAGAGAAGGGAGAAAGGAGAGAAAGGGAAAGGGAAAGAAAAGGGGGGGAGGAAGGGAAGAAGAAGAGAAGGAAGGAAGGAGGGAAAGAGGAAGGGAAAGAAAAGAAGGGAGGAAGGGAAGAGAAGGAGTGAAAGAAAGAAAGAAAAAAGGAGAAAAAGAGGGAGGGAAGGTTGGTCACAGCAACATGTGGTGGGTACAGCTAGTATATAATAAATATACTGTCCCCCACGCACAGAACGAAAAAAATAAGGACTGAAAAATACCTGGCTTCCAAACAAAAACTTTGCTAGGTCTTACTTTCAGGGGAGGCCTTATATTTAGCAATTCAGCAAAACCTCTCCTAGGTCTTATTTTCAGGGGAAGTCCTATTTTTGGGGAAACAGAGTATTACGTCAGCATTTTCCCCAACTTCGGCGTCTTGGAGGTTGTGCTCAATTACGGCCACAGGGGGTGCTGTTGCTTCATCCTCTGTGATGAAGAGGCCTTGATCACAGACTTCCTCCTTCCTTTCATCACCAGCATTTTTCTGTTATTTCCTTTTTGTGGTGTTGTAAAATACAATAGAACAACTTTATTGTCAAATGCACACCTGTGGCCTCCTTGAAAGGGGACCAGTGGTCGGGGGGGGGGGGTGTTAGTAGAAGGGATTCTGGGAGGGCACTACTTTCCCTCCACTGAGGTTCGGATCCAGAAGGTGTGTTGAGATTAACTTCACAATTCAGCAGCAAATCAGTTGCACAACTTCGGCGCTTTCCAGTAGCTTCTTCCTGCACAGTATTTTCAGTCAACTGCTCCCACAAACTGCAGTCATTCCGGAACTCTCCACAGGCACTTGAGCACATGCCCGGCCATTGTCAGTTTTACCATTGTCTTTCCCCTTAGTCTAGATGATATTACAAACTTACCAGAGCATACAGTTATATCTTGTCTTAGCAGACAGGTTCTTTTAATTACATATAGCCTTCGACGAACAACATCATAGCACAAGGAGAAATATACACTGTACATGACTTCCTTATACACAATTCTATACAATTACACATAGCAATCTCTGATTGGTTCCCAACTCAGACCCAGGATTACATCATTCACAATCACCTGGACTAGGCCAGAACACATTCCCCAAATGACTCCCTATATACAGTTAATGCATGACTCAGCATTTCCAATAGAAGCCCATTAGCAGTGCATGACTCAGCTATATTACATTACAATACATTGTAAAACCTGACAAGGTGCCTTCTTCCTTGCCTCTTGCACTTGTTTTCCGGGGACAACCGGCTTCCGGGCCCTGGGTACGAGATGCCACGGGATGCAAGGATGGGGAGCAAGTGCCTCCAAGCTGCTGACCCTCTTGTGTGTCCATTGCCTCTCTTGCAGGCGCTGCTCCTACCGGACGGGGCAGGATGTTGCCAACTGCGGCACGTGCCGGGACTGCGCTTGCGTCATTTACAGGTGGGGCCTTGGGGACAGGAAGCTGGGGAGAGAAGACTTCTGTGTCCAGCAGCAGGACTCTGTCGTGACTTTGTCTCCATGACCAGGGCCATAAGTTTGTTTTGGACTTCAACTCCCACCATTCCTAACAGCCTCAGGCCCTTTCCTTTTCCCCCTCAGCAGCTTAAAGGGAAAAGGATAGGGTCCGAGGCTGTTAGGAATGGTGGGAGTTGAAGTCCAAAACACCTGAAGGGTCTCCGTTTGCCCATGCCTGCTTTAACTCTTTAGTGCAGGTATGGGCAAACCCAGGCCCTTTGGGTTCTTTTCTCAGACCCTACTGTCTCTCATCATCCTATCCTTCCTTCCTTCTCTCTTTCCTTCCTTCTTTCTCCTTCCCTCCTTCTTTCTCCTTCCCTTCTCTCTTTCCTCCCTCCTTCTTTCTCCTTCACTTCCACCCTTTCGTCCTTCCTTCCTCTTTTTTTTTCCTTCCTCCCCTTCCTCCTTCTCTCCATCTCTTCCTTCCTTCCTTCTTCTTCCTTCCTTCCTTCCTTCCTTCTTTCCTTCCTTCCTTCCTTCCTTCCCTTCTCTCCTTCCCTCCTTCCCTTTCCTTTCCTTCCTTCTCTCTTTTCTTCCTCCTGCCCTTCCTTCCTTCTCTCCATCTTCTTCCTTCCTTCTTTCCTTCCTTCTTCCTTCCTTCCGCCTTCGTTCCTCCTTCCCTCCCCTTCCCTTTACCTTTCCTTCCTTCTCTCTTTTCTTCCTCCTGCCCTTCCTTCCTTCTCTCCATCTTCTTCCTTCCTTCTTTCCTTCCTTCTTCCTTCCTTCCGCCTTCGTTCCTCCTTCCCTCCCCTTCCCTTTACCTTTCCTTCCTTCTCTCTTTTCTTCCTCCTGCCCTTCCTTCCTTCTCTCCATCTTATTCCTTCCTTCTTCCTTCTTTCCTTCCCTCCCTTTTACCTTTCCTTCCTTCTCTCTTTTTTCCTCCTTCCCTTCCTCTTTCTCCCTCCCTCCATTCCCTTCCGCCCTTTCATCCTTCCTTCCTTCCCTCTTTCCTCCCTCTCTCCCTCTTTCCTCCTTTCCCTTTTGTCTTTCTTCCTTCTCTCTTTCCTTGTTTGTTCCCTCCCTTCCTTTCATCCTTCCTTCCCTCCCATTTGTCTTTCCTTCCCTCTTCCCTCCCTCCCTCCTTTTACCTTTTCTTCTCTTTTTTCCTCCTTCCCTTCCTTCCTTCTTTCCTATTTCTCCCTCCATTCCCTTCCACCCTTTCATCCTTCCTCCTTCTCTCTTTTCTTGTTTGTTCCCTCCCTTCCTTTATCCTTCCTTCTCTCCCTTTCGTTTTCCTTCTCTTCTTTTCCTCCTCTCCCTCCCTCCCTTTTCCTTTCCTTCCTATCTTTTTCCTCCTTCCCTTCCTCTCCTTTTTCTCTCTCCCTCCATTCCTTCCACCCTTTCATCCTTCCTCTCCTTCTCTCCTCTTTTCTCCTTCTCCTTCCTCCTCCCTTTTCCTTCCTTCTTCTCCTTCCCTTCCTCTTTCCACCCTTTCATCCTTCCCTCCCTTCCTTTGTCTTTCTTCCTTCCTTTCCTCCCTCCTTCCCCTCTCTCCTTTTCCTTTCTTCCTTCCCTCTCTTCTTTCCTCCCTTTTCCTTTCCTTCCTTCCTTTTTCCTCTTTCCCTTCCTTCTTTCCCCTTTCTCCTTCCCCTCCTTCCCCCTCCATTCTTCCTTCCTTCTCCTCTCTCCTCTTTCTCCTTTCTTTCTCCTTTTTTCTTTCCTTCCTTCTCTCTTCCTTCTTTTCCCTTCCCTCCTCCTTCCCCCTTTCTCTTCTTTCCTTCCTTCCATTTTTTCTTTCCTTCCTTCCCTCTTTCCTCCGTCCTCCCTCCCTCTCTCTCCTTCTTTCCTTCTTCCCCTTTTACCTTTCCTTCTTTTTTTCTCCTTCCCTTCGTTCCTTCCCTCTTTCTCCATTTCCTTCCACCCTTTCATCCTTTCTTCTTTTCTTCCCTTCTTTCCTTCCTTCCTTTTTCTTTCTCCTTCTTCCTTTTCCTTCCTCCTTCTTCTCTCCCTCTTCTCCTTCCATCCTCCCTCCTTCCTTCTCTTCCTTCCTTCCTTCTCTTTCCCTCCTTCCTTCCTTCCTTCCCTCCTTCCCTTCCATCACTGGGCAGCCAGTCCTCTTAGCAGGGAGTACTAGCATGCGGTTCCCAAGTTACAAAGCTTGCCCTTGGTCAAGAGACCGACTATTTGGCCCCTTTCCTGACCTTGGTAGCCCCCCAGCAATGTCTGCGGACCCCCTCTGTGGCAGCAGAGGGCCCAGCCCTTGTGTATGTGGGGAGGGGTCTTCTGCCTCCTGCTTGGGGGAGCCTGGGGTCTGCAGCAAGAGGGTAGAAGAAGAGAGAAACGAGGAAAAAGAAAAAAAAAACAAGACAAAAGACAAAGAAAGCTTCTGAAAAAAAGCCGAAAAGAAAAAAGAGTGCAAAAAAGCAAAAAAAAGCGAAAAAACAGAAAGCTCCCTAGCTAGCGTAGTAGAGAGGCACCCCCAAAGGGAGAGGAGAAAGGGACAGCTCCCCACGAGAGAAAAGCAAGGAGAAGCAAAACTAACAAGTTAGGAAAAAAGAAAAAAGGTACGAGAGAAAGAAAAAAGAAGAACGAAAGAAAGAAAAAAAAAAAAAAAGAAGAAAGAAAGAGAGAAAGGAAGTGAATGAGTAAGAGGGGGAAAGAAAGAATAAACAGTAAAAGAATGAATGAAATAGAGAGAAAAAGAATGAGAAAGAGTGAAAGAGAGGAAGACTTCAGGGAGAGTGGGCTAGATAGTAAAAGAAAACAGTAAAAGAATGAAAGAGTGCGAGACAGAGAGGAAGCGCAGAAGGCAGAAGGAAGCATAGCAGGTGAGAAAACAGCCGCAAAGAGGAAGGTAAAAAGGCAGGAAAAAACAGAGAAAGAAGCTCCTCGGAGAGAGACGCAGAAAGAAAAGAAAAAGATAAGAACATGGAAAGTGGGAGCGAGGGAAGATGAGGGAAGGAGACAAGAAAAAAGAAAAAAAGAGCTAAAGAAAGAAGCAACAGGCAAGAGCGAATGACGCAAAGAGAGAGAAGCCAAAAAAAAAGAAGGAAAAAAGCAAAGCAAAAAAGGAGAAAAAGAAGAGGATCATAACAGAAAAAAAGCTCCCCCCCCCTTTCTGGCTCAACCCTGCTGCTCTTCCACCTCGCTTGACCTTCTCCACCATGCGCTTCCCTCCCTCTCTCCCTCTGCCTGCCTCTCTCTCTGTGTGTGTGTGTGCAAGGACTGGCCCCCTCCCCGCACGCAGCACAGAGGAGACCTCAGCCTTAATTGGGACTGACGGGTGTCCCTGCGTGCTGCCGAGGTGCCGGGTGAGACGTGCCTGCTTGACAGAGGCAGAGGCAGCGGCAGACACGGGTGGCTGCATCACGCGCTTTCTTTCTCACACACATGCACACACACACAAAGGCACATGCATCTCCCTGGCCCCCAAAGCATGGAGAGCACCAAGGGGTCTCTGGAGAAGATGGGGTGTTCGCAGGCAGTAGCAGGAAGCAAGCAGGCCTTGGCTGGGGAGGAAGGGGGGCTTCTGACCCTTTCTTGCCCTTCTCCAGCCCAACTGACCCTCCAGAGGAGGTGGGTGAGGTCCAGCAGACCCCACCAGCAATGAGGACTGAATCACAAAACAGCCCCTTAAATAGTCCTTTGGCCCCTTAAACATTAACCCTTGGAACAGGTCTAGAGGATGGGCATTGTGGTAGTCTAGCCGTAGCAAGAAATGCCTGAACATCACCAGCCACAAGGCAGAAGGGATCTATCCTCCTCTGGACACATTCCAGCTTAGAGTCAATATCTCTCTTGAATTGTGGTGCCCAGAATTGGACACAATATTCCAGGTGTGGTCTCACCAAAGCAGAATAGAGCATGGGGAGCATTACTTCCCTAGATCTAGACACTATGCTCCTCTTGATGCAGGCCAAAATCCCATTGGCTTTTTTTGCCGCCACATCACAAAAAAAGCCAATGGGATTTTGGCCTGCATCAATAGGAGCATAGTGTCTAGATCTAGGGAAGTAATGCTCCCCTCTATTCTGCTTTGGTTAGACCACACCTGGAATATTGTGTCCAATTCTGGGCACCACAATTCAAGAGAGATATTGACAAGCTGGAATGTGTCCAGAGGAGGGCGGCTCAAATGATCAAGGGTCTGGAGAACAAGCCCTATGAGGAGCGGCTTAAGGAGCTGGGCATGTTTAGCCTGAAGAAGAGAAGGCTGAGAGGAGATATGATAGCCATGTATAAATATGTGAGAGGAAGCCACAGGGAGGAGGGAGCAAGCTTGTTTTCTGCTTCCCTGGAGACTAGGACGTGGAAATGGCTTCAAACTACAAGAGAGGAGATTCCATCTGAACATGAGGAAGAACTTCCTGACTGTGAGAGCCGTTCAGCAGTGGAACTCTCTGCCCCGGAGTGTGGTGGAGGCTCCTTCTTTGGAAGCTTTTAAACAGAGGCTGGATGGCCATCTGTCAGGGGTGCTTTGAATGCAATATTCCTGCTTCTTGGCAGGGGGTTGGACTGGATGGGCCATGAGGTCTCTTCCAACTCTTTGATTCTATGATTCTATGATTCCTTCCTCCTTCCTTCCTTTCTCTACCTTTTTTCTTCCTTTTTCTCCCTCCCTCCCTTCTTTCCTTACTTCTCCCTCCTTCCTCCTCCTTCCTCCCTTTCCTCCCTTCCTTTCCTTCTTTCTCTCATTCCTTCCTCCCTCATTTCCTTCCTCCTCTCTCTTCTTTCTCCCCTCTTCCTTCTTTCTCTCCTCCCTCCCTCCCTCTCCCTTTCCTTCCTTCCTCTCTTCTTTCTCTCTCCCTCCCTCCCCTTCCTCTCCTCCTCCTTCCTTCCTCTCCTTCCTTCCTTCCTTCCTCCTTCCTTCTTCCTTCCTTCCTTCCTTCTTCCCTTCCTCTCCCTCCTTCCTTACTTCCTTCCTTCCTTCCTTCCTTCCTTCCTACCTACCTACCTGGAAACCACTCTGAGTCCCCCCAGGGAGACAGAGCACTATATAAATCAAGATTTGTTGTTCCTCCTCCTCCTTTCTTACTTCCTCCCTCCCTCCCTCCTTTTTTTCCTCTATCCCTTCTTTCCTCCCTCCCTTCCTCCTTTCTCTCATTCCTTCCTTCCTTTTTCCCACTTCCTTCCTTCCTTTCCTTCCTTCCTTCTCTCTCCCTCCCTCCCTCCCTTCCCTTCTCCCTCCCTTCTTTTCCTCCTTCCTCCCTTCCTCCTTTTCCCTCCCTCCCTTATCTTCTCCCTTCCTTCTTTTCCTTTCTTTCTTTCCTTCCTTCCCTTCTCCCTCTCTTCCCCCTCCCTATTTTTCCTCTTTCTTTCCTTCCTTCCCCTTCCTTCCTTCCTTTTTTCCCCTCCCTTCCTTCCTTCTCCCTTCCTCCTTCCTTTCTCTTCTGCTTCCTTCTCCTTCCTTCCTCCTCCTTCCTTCCTTCCTTCCTTCTTCTTCCTTCCTTCCTTCCTTCTTCCTCACCCTTTCCCCGCCCCCTTCCTATTCTCGTCTTTGTGTGGGTCTGTGTATTCGCCTGCCTTCCCCCCCCCCCCCCCCCGCTCTGTTTGGATTCTGGTGCTGAGTGGAGGGGGCACTGTCTCTAAATGACCAGCATGTGGGGGGCTGGTAGGAGCTAGCAAAGGGGACCCCATTCTGGCCTCTTCTTTATCACCCCCCCCCCCCACACACACACATACTTGTGTCCCCTGAACTGGCCTGCAGGTCAGAAAGGGTGAACATGCCCCAAGCCCAGCAAAGGTATTGCATGTGACCTGTGTCCTTCCTGGAGGAATCCCACATCCCAAGTGGTTGAGCACCTTCCCCTGTGGAGGGAGGCCCCTTCTGTTGCTTTCCTAGCAAGACACTCTTGGGTTCCCCAAAAGGGAGGCCTCTGGGCAGCTGACCTCTTTCTTTCTTACTTTCTTTCTTTCCTTCCTTCTCTCTCTCTCTCTCTCTCTCCTTCCTTGCCTCCAGCGTGGAGCATGACTTCCGGCAGCAGGAGGGCCGCCTCCAGCGAGTGCTGAGCACCGTCAAGGCTGAGCTGCGCCCGAGCAGCCCCCCACTGGCCCCCGCGACGGGACCCCCGACCCCCCCTTGCCAGCCCAGGCCGGTCGCCCGACTGACCACGAAAGGAGAGGCCAGGAAGGCCTGGCGGAAGTGCTTCTGGTTCCTGTGAAAACGGCTCCTTTGGGGGGGGGGTCTCAGTGGGGTCAAGACCCCCACTCAATTGAGGAAGAGGGGTGTGGCATCCTCCCCCCTCCCCTTCTTTGCAAAGACAGAGTAATTGCCTCCCATTTAAGTGGAGGAAGCATATATCTTCTGTACCTGAAGAAGTCCCAATAAAGCCCCAGGAGAGGCCTGTTTTCAGTCTGGTTCTCCTTAATACTGTTGTTGTTGTTGTTGTGATGTTTATTTATACTCTGCTTTGACTCCTTCAGAGTATCTGTCAGGGATACCACATCAGCTCTAGTTTCTGATGCAGAAGGTATGCCACAAATCAGTTTTTGGCATTGGATAGACCACATCAGCTCCAGTTTCTGATGCAGAAGGTATGCCACAAATCAGTTTTTGGCATTGGATAGACCACATCAGCTCTAGTTTCTGATGCAGAAGGTATGCCACAAATCAGTTTTTGGCATTGGATAGACCACATCAGCTCCAGTTTCTGATGCAGAAGGTATGCCACGAATCAGTTTTTGGCATTTGATAGACCACATCAGCTCTAGTTTCTGCAAAAAAAGAGCTCTGGTTTCTGATGTAGAAGGTATGCCACGAATCAGTTTTTGGCATTTGATAGACCACATCAGCTCTAGTTTCTGCAAAAAAAGAGCTCTGGTTTCTGATGTAGAAGGTATGCCACGAATCAGTTTTTTGCATTGGATAGACCACATCAGCTCTAGTTTCTGATGCAGAAGGTATGCCACGAATCAGTTTTTGGCATTGGATAGACCACATCAGCTCTAGTTTCTGCAAAAAAGAGCTCTGGTTTCTGATGTAGAAGATATGCCACGAATCGGTTTTTGGCATTGGATAGACCACATCAGCTCTAGTTTCTGCAAAAAAGAGCTCTAGTTTCTGATGTAGAAGGTATGCCACGAATCAGTTTTTGGCATTGGATAGACCACATCAGCTCTAGTTTCTGATGCAGAAGGTATGCCACAAATCAGTTTTTGGCATTGGATAGACCACATCAGCTCTAGTTTCTGCAAAAAAAGAGCTCTGGTTTCTGATGTAGAAGGTATGCCACGAATCAGTTTTTGGCATTGGATAGACCACATCAGCTCTAATTTCTGACGCAAGGTATGCCACAAATCAGTTTTTGGCATTGGATAGACCACATCAGCTCTAATTTCTGGTGCAGAAGGTATGCCACGAATCAGTTTTTGGCATTGGATAGACCACATCAGCTCTAGTTTCTGACGCTGAAGGTTTGCCACAAATCAGTTTTTGGCATTGGATAGACCACATCAGCTCTAGTTTCTGACGCAGAAGGTGTTCCACGAATCAGTTTTTGGCATTGGATAGACCACATCAGCTCTAGTTTCTGACACAGAAGGTATGCCACGAATCGGTTTTTGGCATTGGATAGACCACATCAGCTCTAGTTTCTGATGCAGAAGGTATGCCACGAATCAGTTTTTGGCATTGGATAGACCACATCAGCTCTAGTTTCTGATGCAGAAGGTATGCCACGAATCAGTTTTTGGCATTGGATAGACCACATCAACTCTAGTTTCTGCAAAAAAAGAGCTCTGGTTTCTGATGTAGAAGATATGCCACGAATCGGTTTTTGGCATTGGATAGACCACATCAGCTCTAGTTTCTGCAAAAAAGAGCTCTAGTTTCTGATGTAGAAGGTATGCCACGAATCAGTTTTTGGCATTGGATAGACCACATCAGCTCTAGTTTCTGCAAGAAAAGAGCTCTGGTTTCTGATGTAGAAGGTATGCCACGAATCAGTTTTTGGCATTGGATAGACCACATCAGCTCTAGTTTCTGCAAAAAAAGGAGCTCTAGTTTCTGATGCTGAACGTATGCCACGAATCGGTTTTTGGCATTGGATAGACCACATCAGCTCTACTTTCTGATGTAGAAGGTATGCCACGAATCGATTTTTGGCATTGGATAGACCACATCAGCTCTAGTTTCTGATGCAGAAGGTATGCCACGAATCAGTTTTTGGCATTGGATAGACCACATCAGCTCTAGTTTCTGCAAAAAAGAGCTCTAGTTTCTGATGTAGAAGGTATGCCACGAATCAGTTTTTGGCATTGGATAGACCACATCAGCTCTAGTTTCTGCAAGAAAAGAGCTCTGGTTTCTGATGTAGAAGGTATGCCACGAATCAGTTTTTGGCATTGGATAGACCACATCAGCTCTAGTTTCTGCAAAAAAAGGAGCTCTAGTTTCTGATGCTGAACGTATGCCACGAATCGGTTTTTGGCATTGGATAGACCACATCAGCTCTACTTTCTGATGCAGAAGGTATGCCACGAATCGATTTTTGGCATTGGATAGACCACATCAGCTCTAGTTTCTGATGCAGAAGGTATGCCACGAATTGGTTTTTTGCATTGGATAGACCACATCAGCTCTAGTTTCTGCAAAAAGGAGCTCTAGTTTCTGATGCTGAACGTATGCCACGAATCGGTTTTTGGCATTGGATAGACCACATCAGCTCTAGTTTCTGCAAAAAGGAGCTCTAGTTTCTGATGCTGAACGTATGCCACGAATCGGTTTTTGGCATTGGATAGACCACATCAGCTCTAGTTTCCGATGCAAAAGGTATGCCACCCAGTAGTTGCCATCTACTCGCCCATAGAAAACCATATTTAATAAGCTTTGGCCCTATAAAAAGGGTTTTTGAGACCAGTCACTCTTATTGCAACGGTGTAGGAACGGTGAGTGTGCAGACCATATTTTAGTTCTTGTGGAACACTGGAGATTCCACCTGAACATTAGGAAGAACTTCCTGACTGTGAGAGCTGTTCAGCAGTGGAACTTTCTGCCCCGCAGTGTGGTGGAGGCTCCTTCTTTGGAGGCTTTTAAACAGAGGCTGGGTGGCCATCTGTTGGGGGTGCTTTGAATGCAATTTTCCTGCTTCTTGGCAGGTCTCTTCCAACTATGATTCTACAGACCACAGTTTTAGATAATACATAGTACTAGAATCATGCTGTTAGAAGAATTCCCTGGGGACATTCAGTCTGGGCCTTCTACCAGGCAGAAATGCACCCTCTGAGCCTTCCTAACAGATGGCCATCCAGCCTCCAGAGATAGAGACCTCAACAGATTTCCCAAGTGGCATAACTACCCAACCACCTTGACTCTCAGGAATTTCTTCTGCAGCCATTCATTCTTTTTGTGCAGCGAGGGAGGTGGGTTTGTTTACTTGGAGATACTGTAGTAGCTCTCGCATGCCATCTGCTGGTGGTTGTAGAAACTGCAGGAGTTCATAGAAGAGAATTTGCACACCTTTCCTGCATTATCACCCCCAGGGGTGGCTCATCCATTACGCGAAGTAAGCGGTCGCAGAACACTCTGTAAATGCCCCTCGACCGCCACTTGAGGAGCGCCCCCTCAGTAACAAGAAAAGATACCTTTTATCGGTTGACCCGCGGATACAGGAGCCCGGTGGGTTACCGTATCCGCGGTCCAAAGGAATGCAGTTTCGGCCTCTCTGGGACGCTGCGAGAGCATCCCGGGTGAGCCGGCGGAGTTCCACGCCTCTGGAAAGGGAAGGTTAATAAGGATAGCGAGATAGAGTCAGTAAAAGGACACAAAGTATCACTCTAGAGAGGGAAAAGTTACAAGAAAGGATACCTTTTATTGGGGGGGTTAGTTACAATGAAACAGGGTGAGTTCAGTTTAGTAAGAAAGGGAAAGGTTTATTGTGTTGAAGATGCTGCTGGAGCCACAGTCCCTTTATCATCAACCAGTCCATGTTTTCAGGAACTGCGGAACTCCCTGCTGTAATTCTAATCAGCTTGAAGGTGGGGGACTGTGAGTTTGTCCTCACTGGTTGTAAGGAATGGTGGGAGTTGGAGTCCAAAACACCTGGAGGGAGGGAGGGCCCAAGTTGGCCCAGGCCTGGTGTAGACACTTCTCCACTGCCATCAAGGGCGGCTTGTCCATTACGCGAAGTAAGCGGTCGCAGAACACTTTTTTTTTGCCAAGGGCGCAGAGGCGCCTCTGTAAATGCCCCTCGACCGCCACTTGAGGAGCGCCAACAGCCCTAGCAGTCTGGGGGGAGCCTCGGCTTTCTTGCCTCGCTGCCGGGCGATCCTTTTCCCAAAGGGGCCGGGCCCTTGAGCCTCGCCTAGCCCCTCTCGTTCCTGCTCCACCCGGCCACCAGGTGCGCGAGCAGAGCCGGCGCTCAATCGTTCTCTGCGTTCGATCCCTTCCCCATGACTGGCTCCCTTTCCCGATCCCCCGGCACTCCACCCGCCTCCTCTCCTCTCCCCAATCCACGGGTGGGCCAAGGGGAGGAGCCGCCACACCTGGCCCGCTTCAGGTCCAGAGGCGTGTCTGAAGACCCCAGCGTGCGCACCAAAAGTCACCTCTTCTCCTGACTTTCTCTTCAGCCATTGGGACCAAGAGAGAGAGAGAGAGAGAGAGAGAGAGAGCCCCTCCGGCTGGAGGTATCTCCCACCTCCGCTCCCTCCTTTGTTTTTGCGCCTACCTTCAGGAAAGGTGGGCATCTCCACCTCTCTCTCTCTCTCTCTCTCTCTCTCTCTCTCTGGTCCCAATGGCTGAGGAGAAAGTCAGGAGAAGAGGTGACTTTTGGTGCACACGCCGGGGTCTTCAGGCACGCCTCCGGACCCAAAGCGGGCCAGGCAAGGGAGCAAGTGCGTTACTGGGATGTATAGTTCACCTACAGTCAAAGAGCATTCTGAACTCCACCAATGATGGAATTGAACCAAATATGGCACACAGAACTCCACGACAAACAGAAAATACATATCAGTGATTGGTGGGGGGGGGGGCAAAAATACTGTTTGCTTACCGTTGAAAATTACCTAGGGCCGCCTCTGAGCACCCCCCCCCCCCCCCCCCCCCCCCCCCCCCGCCCTTGCATTGGTATCACTCCCTCCTCCCAAGCCCAAGCCCCCCTTAATAGCCTCAAGCATTTTCAAGGATTTGGGAGTGTTTATTTGGAGGGAACAGCTGAGTGAGGGGGGGGGAGCACGATCCCACCCTTTCCACCCCCTTGCTTGGGGATTGTGGGGGGGGGGGGTCTTTCCAGATGTGAGTGGGAAGGGGCATCACACCAGGAAGCTCTTCGGTTTGGAGCCTGCCCCTTCCTTCCTTCCTTCCTCTGATGCCAAAGGGGATGTTATACCTTGAGCATGTGTAGAGTGCCAGCCCCATCACTGCCAGTCCAGGGGTCACCTAGCCCCTCTCCCAGAGCATTTGCTCTTTAGCATTATGTCCACCTGTGTGTGTGTATGCATGCACATATATGTGTGTATGCATATACATACACACACACAAATATAAACACAGCCTTTGCTCTTTAGCACTATGTCCACCTGTGTGTGTGTATGCATGCACATATGTGTGTAAACATACACACACACACACATATAAACACATACAGCCTTTGCTCTTTAGCACTATGCCCACCTGTGTGTATGCACGCACATGTGTGTATACATACATACACACAGATATATGAATGCATAGGCACATATGTACATACATGTATGTGTCATGCATATATAGGATGGGCCAAAGGTTACAAAGGGGGCCCTTCCCACCATTGCCAGTCCAGAGGTCACCTAGCCCCTCTCCCACAGCCTTTGCCTCTGTAGCACAATGCCTACCTGTGCGCATATATCTGTGTGTGTGTGTGTGTATACACAGAGAGAGATATAGGACTGCATAGACGCACATATATATATGTGTATGCATCATGCATATATATATAGGATGGGCCAAAGGTCACAAAGGGGGCCATATAGGTAAAGGTAAAGGATTTCCCCTGACATGAAGTCCAGTTGTGTCCGACTCTGGGGTATGGTGCTCCGCTCCATTTCTAAGCCGAAGAGCCGGCGTTGTCCACAGACACCTCCAAGATCATGTGGCCAGTAGGACTTCAAGATGCGCCATTACCTTCCCACAGAAAAGGTACCTATTGATCTACTCACGTTTTTGAACTGTTAGGTTGGCAGAAGCTGGGGCTGACAGCAGGAGCTCACACCGCTAAAACTTTAAAATTTTAATTCTTACATTTGGCCATTATCGTATTGTTTTGCTTCGTTATGAGTTATTTATTGTTGTATTGTTGTAGTTATGTTTTATGATGTATTTGGGCTCGGCCTCTTGTAAGCCACACCGAGTCGTGTGGGAGATGGTAGCAGGGTATAAATAAAGGTTTATTATTATTATTACCCAGATTTGAACCTGCGACCTTTCAGTCAGCAAGCTCAGCAGCTCAACGGTTTACCACCGGGGCCATACACACACACACACACATATACATACATATACACACATATATACACCCACCCACACATATATACTATATATGATACAATGGCACTGGGTGTCATTCAAAATATGTGTTTTCACACATAATGTAGATTTATTTCCTATATGTATTGCACACAATTCCGTGGTATTGTAAATTAAAAACAACAGGGGAGTTATTACAATATTGAGCTCCCTTTGTGACTTTTGGTCTCCCTGTATGCATTTGCGCGCTATGTGTGTCTGTGTGTGAGAGAGAGAGTTGCAGTCCAAGACAGCTGGAGGGAGGGTCGAAGTTGGTCCAAGCCTGCTCTAGGTTTATTTGGAGGGGACACCTCATCTGAAGTGCCATCTTAGCCAACGGTTGAAGTTGGCCAAGGCCTGCTCTAGGTCTATTTGGAGGGGACACCTCATCTGAAGTCCCATCTTCGCCAACGGTTGAAGGTGGCCCAGGCCTGCTCTAGGTCTATTTGGAGGGGACACCTCATCTGAAGTGCCATCTTAGCCAACGGTTGAAGTTGGCCAAGGCCTGCTCTAGGTCTATTTGGAGGGGACACCTCATCTGAAGTCCCATCTTCGCCAACGGTTGAAGGTGGCCCAGGCCTGCTCTAGGTCTATTTGGAGGGGACACCTCATCTGAAGTGCCATCTTTGCCAATGGTTGAAGTTGGCCAAGGCCTGCTCTAGGTCTATTTGGAGGGGACACCTCATCTGAAGTCCCATCTTCGCCAACGGTTGAAGGTGGCCCAGGCCTGCTCTAGGTCTATTTGGAGGGGACACCTCATCTGAAATGCCATCTTCGCCAATGGTTGAAGTTGGCCCAGGCCTGCTCTAGGTCTATTTGGAGGGGACACCTCATCTGAAGTGCCATCTTCGCCAACGGTTGAAGTTGGCCAAGGCCTGCTCTAGGTCTATTTGGAGGGGACACCTCATCTGAAGTGCCATCTTCGCCAACGGTTGAAGGTGGCCCAGGCCTGCTCTAGGTCTATTTGGAGGGGACACCTCATCTGAAGTGCCATCTTTGCCAATGGTTGAAGTTGGCCAAGGCCTGCTCTAGGTCTATTTGGAGGGGACACCTCATCTGACGTCCCATCTTCGCCAACGGTTGAAGGTGGCCCAGGCCTGCTCTAGGTCTATTTGGAGGGGACACCTCATCTGAAATGCCATCTTCGCCAACGGTTGAAGGTGGCCCAGGCCTGCTCTAGGTCTATTTGGAGGGGACACCTCATCTGAAGTGCCATCTTCGCCAACGGTTGAAGTTGGCCAAGGCCTGCTCTAGGTCTATTTGGAGGGGACACCTCATCTGAAGTGCCATCTTCGCCAATGGTTGAAGTTGACCCAGTCCTGCTCTAGGTCTATTTGGAGGGGACACCTCACCTGAAGTGCCATCTTAGCCAACGGTTGAAGTTGGCCCAGACCTGCTCTAGGTCTATTTGGAGGGGACACCTCCACACACACAGGTCTGTTTATCCTTGGCCTTTCCTGTCATCTTGGCTCTCCTGCAAGCTAGCCAATTGACCATCCCTGCATCTTGTCCCCGAGGCTTCAGGAAAAAATATTCCCATTCGAGTGTCCTAGATGCAGCTGGAAAGCCCCCCTCCCCAATATGCACTCTGCTCATGGGACCCCAACCCATTCACTTTGCAGAAAACCCTTCCACCTTGGTGTCTCTTGCTGCGTGCAGGAAGAGGTCTTTCTGGCCAGACACCATTTCTTCTTCCTAGGTGAGGATCTCCAGACTCCCCCTCTGAGTGAATCACAAGCTGAACATGAGTCAACATTGCCATGCGTCAGCTAAGCAGCCCGTGTGATTGGAGGCCATTGAAGGATGGTCCCGAGATCGAGGGAAAGTCATGGCTCCGTTCTCTTCTGGGTTGGCCAGACCTCGCCTGGGATAACCTTGTGTCCGATCCGGTTTTAATCTGCTGGCGAATTGATGAGTCAAGAGTGTGATGCGGCAGCTCACAAGGCCAATGCATTTCCAGGATGCATCAATAGGAGTTTAGCATCCGGAGACCAAGAGGAAGCCATAGCCTTAATCTGCATTCTTCCTCTCTTTGCTTTGGGGGGTGGGCTCACTCGCTACCCGCCTTTAGGGGGGATTCACCGTGAGTGGCATTCATCTTGCTATGGGGCCAAATTTGGGGGGGGGGGAGATTGCTTGCATGCAATTTCAATTTAGGAACAGTGGGGGAGAGATGTGAAGGGGAGATGTTGCGCTGCCCCCCCCCCAATCCATTGGGAAAACTTCAGTGATGTTCTCTCCAAACTGCCCCCTTCCCTTATAGGCACCATAAATTGGGGGGGGGGGGGACTGAGGGGGGGGTCAAGGTATGTTTGTGTGTGTAGAGACCCCACTTTGCCAGGAAACAACACCCCATTTCCCATGTACACAACACAGCCCCACACAGCCCTGGGAAGCAGGGTCTTCGCAGTCAATTGGGGAGAGGTCCATAAATTGGAGGGGCGACAGATTGAGGGGGGGGTCAAGGTATGTTTGTGTGTGTAGAGACCCCACTTTGCCAGGAAACAACACCCCATTTCCCATGTACACAACACAGCCCCGGGAAGGAGGGTCTTCTCAGTCAATTGGGGAGGGGTCCATAAATTGGGGGGGCAACTGATTGGGGGGGGTCAAGGTATGTTTGTGTGTGTAGAGACCCCGCTTTGCCAGGAAACAACACCCCATTTCCCATGTACACAACACAGCCCCACACAGCCCTGGGAAGCAGGGTCTTCGCAGTCAATTGGGGAGGGGTCCATAAATTGGGAGGGGGCAACTGATTGGGGGGGTCAAGGTATGTTTGTGTGTGTAGAGACCCCGCTTTGCCAGGAAACAACACCCCATTTCCCATGTACACAACACAGCCCCACACAGCCCTGGGAAGCAGGGTCTTCGCAGTCAATTGGGGAGAGGTCCATAAATTGGAGGGGCGACAGATTGGGGGGGGGGTCAAGGTATGTTTGTGTGTGTAGAGACCCCACTTTGCCAGGAAACAACACCCCATTTCCCATGTACACAACACAGCCCCGGGAAGGAGGGTCTTCTCAGTCAATTGGGGAGGGGTCCATGGGGCGAGGAGCTGCAAACAAGTCCTGGAATTAGGGGAGGGGGCTCCTCACTGGAGAATGGACGAAAAGGGTGGGGGGTCCGGTCACAGGGCGCTGGAGGAAGAGGTGGCCAGGCGCTTCCCAATGCAGATGCTGGAGGGAGAAAGTGGGGAGGGGGTCGTCAGGCATCAAGATCCCAATGTGGAAAGGCAGAGCCCCCTCCCCAGGTTTTGCTTGACCAAATAGGACCCCTCAAAGGGCCCACCAAGAAGGGCAGGAGGTTGGGGGGGGGGTCCCAAAGCAACTCACCCCAGGCCCAGGGCCAAGACGTGGCTGAGCATCAGGGAGGGGACCACCAGCAGCATCAGTGGGGGGTCCTGCAGCCCCTCTTTCCG